TTTAGAGGTCGCACTAGGCTTGCTTCAGTTCTGGGGCCACAAGTCTCGGCGGAACCGCCCTGAGGAGTGCTCAAGAACCCGCCACCCCAACGCCGAACACTCTGATACCGGGGTCTGGGTATCTCTCTCCGCCCGCGGTCCGCGAACTCTGGCTCTTCCCAGGAAGTAACACCGAGGACGTGGAAGAGAGTGGGTTCGGTTTCACTCCTGCGCAGCCCTTCAGGGCTGCCGTGAGCACCCGAGTTCCCGCTCCCAGCAGTCCCTGTCTCGCTGCCATTCTTGACTATTCTTAACTTGGGGTCTTGACTATTCCCGCCTCCGCCCGCTGTCCTTAGACCCAGAGCCCCGGCGCAGGGCTCTGAAAACAGAGATGGAGTTGCCTGGTTGGGGACAGTTCACGAGCCCTGAAATCCCTAGGTGAACACCAACCCCTTTTTCTCTTCCTGCATCTGTCCATCCTCCTGGAGTAATGGGCAGGACCAGCCCCAGGCTAGACCCTTTAGTAACCCACTGTTTTCCCCTACTGCGTGGTAGTGGAATAATTCCTGGGGCCAAGACGACCCACGGAGGAGGCGTCACTGAGAGGAGTGGCTGGCGAGGTGGGGTAGGGGAATCAGCTTTCCAGCTTGCGTGAGTGGGCCGGGGCACCTGGCCCTGCGACCAGGACTCTCCCTGACGCCTAATACCCCTTCCAGCGCTGCCGGTCCCAGGACTTCCCGCCTCTAAAATCAGATTACCCTACTCTCTCCCGCCTAGCCTGCACACTCCAGTTCTCTCCTATGATGACCAGAAAGGAGACACTCTTACCTGCCACCTAAGACTTCCAGAAGGTAAGTGCCTGCTTGGCGTGGTTCAAAGCCAGTAGACACTGACTGCTTAATGCGCTTGCCATGGTCTCACCTGGGGGCTGCCCAGAGTCCTGGCAGGACCTGGAGGTTCAGCTGCAGGTCCTGCGATCTACCTTTCCTCAGCTCGTTACCAGCTCCGGGTAGTCTTCCCAGCAGGGTTTTGACATGTCTGATACTCGATACCCTGGCAGCATATCTGGGCTGAATCATCTTGTTCCATAACCCAGTCTTGTAATTTGTGGTCCAGGCCCTTCCTAAATACCGACCCACAGATCCTTTGGTGGGGGCGAACTTCAATGAAGGATTCAGCTTTTTGCTTTTTCTTTTGTAGGTGTCTCTGGCCAGAGTGTTGGGGAGTGCAGTAGAGAGCAGCCTGGCCTTTCCTGTCAGTGTCCCAGGCCTTTCAGGTGGGTGACAAAAGCGCTCAGGACTTATCGTATGGCATTTCCTTCCCCCCACCCTTATCCAATTCCTGTCTCCTCGCTCTTCTGCCCCAGCTTTCCTCCAAGTTTCCCATCACCTCTCTCTTACCTGGTCTCAGGCACTTAACCTTCTCAGAGATGGACACCTAAATCCCTTATAGATCCATGAGGAAAGCTATTGCCCCTTTTTCTGGAAAAGTCCATGCAATCTCAGGGAGTTCGCAGGTCCCCTGAAGCCCTCACTAAGGTGTAAACAACTGATCATTGTTTAAAATGTGGTGCGTGTATTTTACATTTTGACAGGAGTCAAAGACTTACACCAACCGAAAGATTGAGTTCTAAGGTATAACTTTGAACAGCCACAATTGTTTGAAAGAGATTGAATGGGAAAGAGTGAAATGCTATTTTTGGTGAATCTGCGATGGTAGCAACCCCCCACCTCCAGCACTTTCCTAAACTTAGAACCCTGGCATCATCCTGAATTTTTTCTTCTTCAGACTACACATTCTATCAGTCACTGAGTCCTATTGTTTTCTTATAATAAACGTTTCTCGAATTCACCCCCTCCTCTCCATCTCTCCTACAGCTGCTGTGGTGCAAGCCTTTGACATTTCTGTAACCAGCGCCCCCACCCCTCACTCCATACTCTGTGATCCCAGTACTGTTCTTATATGTAGCATTTATCGAGCATATTATATAATTTAAGTTTTAAAACGCTTTTGTTTTTTGTTCCTGCTGTATCCCCAGGGCCTAGAACAGTGATCGTTACATAGTACACTAGTTATTTAATAGAACATATGGCAAATTTCCACGTGGTCTCTAAGACTTAGCTTATCTCCTCCAGAAAGCCTCCCCTGGCTAATCTTCACTCTCAGGCCCAATCAGAGGCCACTTCTGTTCTCCATGTTCTCACACCACCTTCACATTGTGATGTGACTGTGTCTTCTTCCCTATGAGCACTTTGAGAAAAGGGGCTGTGCCTTCTTTATTTGTTTATGCACAGTGTGCAGCCCACTGCTTGGCAAAAACCTGGTCTCAGTGGTGCTGCATCATTTACTTGATCATTTACCATCACACAACGATTCCTTCAAGTCAACACTTTTGCTCAGACATCTTACAGTGGTTCCCAGGCCAAGGAATGGTGTCTAGACCTTCTGCCTGTCTTCCAAGGAGGTATAGGTTCTGCCAAGGGCCTAAGTTTTTGCTCCTTGCCTCCTTCTCTACAGCATTTACGTCTACCCTTACCAGCCTAGCTTTAGTACTCTACAAGTGGGCCCTGCCCTTCCAAAGGGTCTGGAGGCTCCACCCAGAATGCTCACTCTTCTGCTCCCACCCTGCCCTGCAGACAGAGTCCTAGCCCTTCAGCGCCCTCCTGCAAGAAATCAGACGTTGCCAGGCCAGGCATCTTTGCCAGCTCCTAACCCTGACTACCAGCTTGTGGAGGCAAATGAAGAACTACATGTGAAGGGCTTAGTACAGGAAACGCACATAAAAGATGCACCCTCCTTCCTATTTTTTAAATTAAAAAATATATCTATATGTATATATATTTGTGTGTGTGTGTATATATATATATATAATTTCTGAGGACCCGAACCAAAAAGAAAATGATGAAGAACCAAACAAAACAAACCGGCTCAGGTTCTAGGGGACATCCTCGGTATGGCCTGGGCGGTGTGGCAGCTCCTCTCGCGGGGGTTTGCAGTGGCCACTCAGTCTGGGCCACCAGCACTAGCCGGGTGTGACAGCTGGGCAAAGGAAGGTGTTTGTCTCCTCAAGATTCCTGCCCTGGTCACAGATCAAGTTTTTAGAGCGATCATTTCACGGGATTCGCAGGTAGTCTTAGCAGAATATCTGGATGCTGTGATTGCGAAACTGTATAACACTTGCGTCCTCTAGTATAAAAGAAGTTGCTTAATCCATTAGGGGATATGGATTCAGGAACAAAACGTAAAAGTAATGTGAGAGTTGGAACTAAAGGCACCGCTGGGATTCGAACCCAGGATCTCCTGTTTACTAGACAGGCGCTTTAACCAACTAAGCCACGGCGCCAACGTCGCTCCTGTGGCTCCTGGTACCGCACTACAGGAAAACAGCGCTGGAGCCTGGCTACATCAACTTCCTCAGAATTTTTCTAAAGTTAATTTTGACGTATCGACTAGGTTTGGAGTCAAACATCCACGCGTGGGATACCCCCAGTGTTGAAAGAAGTAAACCAAAGAGCTTAAGCCTCACCAAAAGTGTGTGGTTGGGGAGCTTCCCAGAATCAAAGATTCCTGAGACGGGAGGATTTCTTAGGTACCGACCACATCAATTTTCTGGCTTTGGGCAGGAGGTATGTGCGGGGTAAGAAAGAAAAAAATTGGAAACCGCAGACGTAGTCGGCAGGATTCGAACCTGCGCGGGGAGACCCCAATGGATTTCTAGTCCATCGCCTTAACCACTCGGCCACGACTACACGCACGTGGCAAACAGCCTCATGTGAGGGTTTTCTTAGTTCTTCTGCCCAACAAACACAATCCTCTGATTGTTTCGTGGTTCCTGGGCTACGAGGCTGGCGACTGCCAGCACCAGAGCAGGTTAGTATCAGAATCGACCCTTCGCTCGCCGTCCCGCCTCGTACCCTGCCTTTCTGGGATCCTCATCCCGATCTTCCCTTTTCCTCCGGCCTCCAACAATGCGTCCTCAGGGAACAGAAGACACAGAAGTCGCCGGGGAACGCTCCCCGCGCCTCGGTCCAGGAAGCACCCTTCCAGAGTTTGGGATGAGCTAGCAATTTAAGTTTTGGAAAGCAGTGTGTCCTTTGTCCTTTGCGGTCAGAAAACAACTGGCTCTGGGCGGAATGTTGCCGGTAACAGTATGCTCAGGATAGGGGGCACGGGTGTAAAACTTGGAAAAACAGAGCTGGCCCGTACGGGGATCGAACCCGCGACCTTGGCGTTATTAGCACCACGCTCTAACCAACTGAGCTAACCGGCCAGTGGTGTGAACAAGCTTCCTCAAAAGTGCCTATCTGTATCACTTAATTACGTAGGCACCTTCACTTCACCATCCCACAAATCTGGCGTGAAACTAGCTATGTTCTAAAGGCTTTCCAAAAGTGCGTGGTTGAGATTGAAAATTGGAAGAGATCTCTAAAAAGGCACGAAGGAATATCCTCTGAAAAGCTGTAAGAGGCTCTCTACTCCTTCAATGAGCAAACAGCTCCCAGGAAAGAAATGGGAGACTGCCAATCAAATGCATGAGCACCTCTAATTGATCCTGCAATCCCTAAGGTTCTGATTTAGGAATTCCTACTGGTCTCATAGTGTGGATCAAGGACCTGCCTTAGGTCTGACCCATGGGAAACAAACAGCAATGTTTACTAGGGTTCCATAGTGTAGGTTCCTCACATGACTATCCTAACACTTGGTACTCCCCCGACTCCACTCTCCTTAAGCCCATCTTGTACTTCCCAACAACTCTAGGTTTCCATACTTGACTTCTTCCCCAGCCCAACCTTGCTGAGACCATCCCAGCGATGCTGTTTACCCTGCCTCTAGTTAGCGCCAGTTTACTCCCTTTAGGGACTGACCTTTGATACCATTTCTTCTGGTGGACCAGAGGCTCTTAAAACCAGCTTTGGCATTGGTGGAAAACAAGGGCGGAAATGACGGTAAACAATGGGTTGGCTGCCAGATCAGGAGACCTGGCACCTCAGCAACAGCACAAGTGTAAAAATCATCACTAGAGCTTTATTGCAGGCCAAGGGGCAAGGCTTATGTTCCTCTAGCTGTGCCACAAGACAGAACCCAGGTTCTCGGGGCTACCCTGTGAGTGCAGGTACCTTGATCCCAACAGAGAGGAAATATGTACAGCACAATAATTTGCCTATTTCCACAATGTCCCCAAGGTAGGCTGGTACCAGAAAGAATATGAAGAAGGAGAAATTACAGTTAGTATTATACAGGAATCTGGGGTCCTAGTTAATCACCAAGGTAAGGGCCACAAGTGGGAGAAGCTGGGGCCCAGACCTCAACTGTTCCAACAGGGCATGAAAAACTTTCAGGCTATTGCTGAAGTTCAGGTTAGCAGAAGGAAGCAAATGTCCCCAGGGAGCTGGAGTGCTCTGGCTCCTGGATAGAGAGACATAACAATTGGATCCTGGGATTCACATGAGTCAGTAGAGGGAGCTCCCCACATTGGAATCGCTGTAGCCTAGGAGGTTCTGAGATAGGAAGAGAAGAAAATACATGTCTTATGCATGAGGCTTTTAGTCCCCATCCACCATTCTCCGCCCCAACTCCAGAAATCCCCTATCAATCCCTCATGGCTCATCCTCCTGGGACTCATCGGTCTGCACCCCCACCCATCCATTCTTACCTCCTTACCTAAAGGGACGATCTTGGAAGGTTTCCTCTCGAGCTCAAAAGAAAGCACAATTGGGCGGAGAACAGAGAGGCTGGTACAAAGTGTCCGGAGGAAGAAGGTCAAGGGCTCATCAATCTTGGCTGAGGACTAGAAAGGGAAACTCAGGATTAATCAGGACTCAAACTCCCAAACCTCCCACCAACCCCCCCTCAGGAACCTGGGTATCTGAGCCCCACCTTCCAGCCACATCTCACCTCGGGTTGGGCTCCTGGCCCTATAAATTGCAAGGCCACTTTCCCTGGCCCTCTGACAAGCTCTAGGAGGGAGGTCCACTCACTAGCACACAGCCCTAATGCTGCTGCCACATGATGATTCCTACAGGTCACCACAGCTTCGGCGGTCCCATCCTCCACCAGGAGCCTGGGGTAGGGGTACGGAATGAGAAACAGAACTCTCAGAGCAAATGCAGGTGTCAGTCACTTGTACCCAACATGCCTCCCTCTCCACGGTTTCATTTTTAACTCATTTACCCTCACTCATTCATTAAAAAATATTTATCAAGTAATTCCCACAAGGCGAGAATTCTGTTAACACAGGAACAGCACACAAGCGAAGTCACGTAATAGGGAAGTATACGGTGTGATGGGCACCGCAGGTGCTCTCACCTGATGTTGGCCTGGCTTACAGACGTCTGAGTGGGGCAAGTGGAACCCTGATGAGTACACCTTCCCTGGGGTGAAAAAAGTGATTGGAAAAATCCTCCTGGTCCCATCACATTCCCTCTGTCACCACGCATCCAACTTGTTCCCTCCCATACCTGGAGGGAGAGGCTGGTACAGTGAGCACACACCCAGAGCAGCTGAAGGCTGAAAACGGAAACAATATGGCAAGAGACAATGGCCTGGAATGGGGCCTGGCCACCCTGCAGCAGGTCAGCCAGGTAGATGCATGGCAGAGGAGCACTACAAAGAGAGAGAGAGGGAGAGACAGGAGTCAAGAAACAGTCAAAGGGGCTCTGAAGGCAGGGTGTGCTTGGGGGGACTCAGCGGGCACAGGGATGGGAGTAACAGCGGTTTCTGCACCCTCCAGGCAGCCCTGTGCTCCCCATTTTGATTTCTAATCTCCAACTGTCATCAATTGTTTCTCAGGCTTGAACCACCACGATGCTAGCCAAGAAATGATAGTTGCATTTTAGACTGAAAAGCCTTTAAGAGCCTAGAATACTAAATCTTTCTGGATCAAATGACAAATATTGGGCATTTATTATTTGGGGCTGTGGCTTAACAAATCCTGCTAGGATTGGAGAAGACTGTAGTTATGGAAAGAATTCTAGAGTAAGAAACATGTGTAGGATGTAGATGTGAGGCTGTGAAGTTTGGAATCAGGGCCTGGGGCACTGACCTGACTGCGGTTTCCGGGGGAAAACTCAGGACCTGTGTATAAGTGGAACACCGGAAGCAACAGTAAACATTGTGGGATCTGCAAGTGGAAGAGGAGGAGAAACAATTCAATTTGAGGTTGGAGCTGGGACTGTATCGCAGGCTTGGCCGCTCCCCTGGGGGACACACCCTAGCCCAGGCTCTATCAAAGCACAGGGAAGGACTGGTCTGGAGCACCTCGTGAGGGCAGAGTGCATACATTCCAGAGTAACATATCGAATGTAATCAGAAAAGGAGGTGTGTTGTAGCAGAGAGGAGAAGAGAAGCACATCAGTAGAGAGAGGAGAGGCCAGGCCAGCCACATAGATCTTCACCTGGAGACTCTTTTCTCCAGCTGGCCAAAGTAGACTCGGGCTCCTGGAAGGAGTCCCAGTGGGGGAGGCAAGTGTGGGTCTTCGATATATATGTCCAAGTGAGGGGGGAATTCCCAGTCAGCAGACTCGAGAGCCACGGTTAGCTTCACACACCCTCTCCTGGCCCCGGAGCTCCCTATGGAAGGAAAGGGGAGGGTCAGTGGTATCTGTCTGGATCACAAGGTCCCATCACTCCATTTTACATGTTCCCCCAAAGGAGTTCTCATTACCAGGCTTTGTCTGGAGAGGGGCCAGAAGTGGCTCACACAGTGTCCGTGACAGAATCTCAGCTGAGAAAGACACCAAGGAATCGGTGGAGCTGAAGGGTCAGAGAAATACAATGAGGATGGAGGCATAAGAAGGCAGAGAGAGAATGGAGAGTCAAGTCCAAGGACAGAGAAGGTAGCTAAAGTCGTCTGGTAGAACATTATCTATAAGGTCCTGAAAAATCTCACTCTGTGTTGAATCACCCATTAAAAGTAACAGGGCTTATGGGAAAAATAGAGTTGTGGCAGATCACTCAAAACCTATACAACTTTGTAACCAGAGGCCTTACCAAGAAGTACAGTACACCAGCAGAGGTAACTCTCTGCTTGTGCTCACCCCCGGAGCCTCAGTCAGTCTGTCACCTGCAGCTCTGTGGGCTGGAGCACACACCCGCTCCTTCAAATCACAGGTTCTTAAAAACATTCACTTCTAGTACAGACAAGTCTCCTAAAAATGACACACACAGTCCAGTAGGGTTTTGTTTGTTTGTGTAATACAGGGGGAAATATCTCTGCAGCCTCTTCATTTGCACTTGTAGCCCCAAAAAGCTTACATGAGGAAAGTATGGTTGTTCCGGAAGCCATAAACCAGCCACTTCTTATACTTAAGACTTTTCTCTATAGGTTTTCATCTTTTATCCTTACTTTTTTTTTTCCCCCCATGTATCTTACATTTCCTCTTACTGCTAAGACTTTTCCTGAATTGTGAGAAAGCCTGCTCATGATCACCTCAAGACAGTAACAGGCTGGGGGAAAATCAGGTATGAAACACAATTTCCGTCTTCCATTTACAGCATCCCCTAGGAGCTAAACGACATGAAAGAAACACTCTGTAGCAGAGAACCAACTGTCCACCAAACCTAACTACAGCAGAGGAAGAGAGTGCAGCCCAAATGCGCTGGAGAAGCTAGCAGACATTTACTTGCCACTGAGCAGGTCGGTCAGCGAGGATGCAGGCAGTGCCTTGTTGATGTTCGCCACATCTGGGGTGTCCGGGGAGCTCTCAAGTTCCAGGGTCCACTTGCTCTGGACAGTGAGGCAGGACGAGCATCCAGCCAACTCCAGAGGACGCTGCGACATGCAGGATGAACCACTGGCCTCAAACAACATTGGCGTCTGCCAGGAAATGAGAAGACAATGGTTTGAGTGTGTTCTAGTCCAGAGGAAGGTTCACAAAGTACTATGACGCAGTTTTGTCCTCTCCAGGGCCTGGTGAAGGAGTGACCTGGACACAGACAACGCCTCTATCTGATCCAGAAGACCTAGAGAACGGCCAGGCACTGGCACTTCCTCTCCAGACCCCAAGCGAAAAAAAGCTTTCTGGGGAAGGGCGAGTGAAGCAGGGTGCTCACGGGAGGGCCAGGAGCCACGAGTCGGTACACTTGCCCGGGGTGCAAGAACTCGAACCAGCGGACCGAGGAGCCGAGAAAGATGAGGAGAACCTGTGAGTAAGGAGAGCAAGGTCCTGGGGTTCCAGACAGGAGCCAGCAGCACAGGTCAAGCCCTAGGTTCTCGCAGTCCCAGCTTACCTTCTGATCCTTGTGCTTGTCTCCCTTGAGCTCAGGTGGGCCCCATCCAGTTCCCTCCTTCCTCTGAGTACCCGCAAGCCAGCTCCCTGATACATGGAAACTAAGGGTGGGCTTGGGCACCTCCAGACTGGCTCCCGAAGGGACACAAAAGTTCCTCTTCATCAGAGCCTCCTTGTGGGACAGCAAGAACAGCCGGCTCTGTCCTATGTGGGGACTCTCGGTCTCTATCTGAGGACATGTTGAGGAGGTGGCGGAGTGATGGAAGGGTCTGGGCACAGGCAGGATCATGGCATCGGCCAGAAGGAACTGGACATAGACTCTGTTGGGAGAGACAAGGAGTAGGTTTCTTAGTGGCATCAGAATTGGGTGCCGCGGGCCCCAGCGTTCCAACACTTGCACCAGGCCCTTCCCCTCTTCCTCAGAGACCCAGAGGAGAGCCACTACCCCAAGAAACCAACCTCGCCTCCTGCATCTGAATGAAGCCTGTCGTGCTCAGCTCCTTCCAGGAAGGAAAGTTGCTCCTGACATTCCTCTCTATGATTAACTGGAACTTCTCAGCCCGCACCAAGCAGCCTACAGGAAAGGTTTCCATTTTGACAATGGGAAGTGAAGGGAAGCAGACGACCCTGCGGATCTTGCTGCCCCGCCAAGGCCTGACCTGACCCCCACCTTAAGAGGGATGGCACCTCCGGGGAGAAACCACTCCACTTGCATGTCCAACTCCACCCTGGCATCCTAGGCTGAAAGGCCTCACTTTTCCTTTCTCACAGGTATGTAAATGCCTGTTCCTAGACCTAAAAACCTTTGCTTCCCATGATTGCCTTGTCTACAAATCCCAGCAAGTGCAAGGAAGACCGTTATCTTTCCCAACTAAGAATGCAGGAAGTGGGAGCTGCCGTCGTGCGGGGCAGGTCAGGCGCTTCGGTGGGAGACCAGAATGTTGGGAACTGGAGGCCTGGCTATGGAACCCCTTGCTCCTTTTCTCTACCCGCCAACACCGTCTCCCAAACATTTCCCCAGACCTGACTAACTTGATGCCACTTCAGCACCTCTAGAAAATCCCAGCAGGCGCTTCCCCCCACACTCCCTGCCCTGAGACCCTCTAAGCAACCACCACCTTCTCTCCACTTCTGAATTCCAAACCTATGAGCTGGGGGTCAGCGAGGGGCTGTGAGCGCTTGTTCAGGAGTAGACAGGGGAGGGAACTAGTTTGGTCCCGAAGTTGCAGACAACCTTTGTGAGATGAAGCCACCAGAACCCCAAGTAAAACCTGCAGGGAGGTAGAAAGGCAAGGTATCAAGTATTTATTAAGCAAATATTGAGCATTATAATGTTCTAGGTACTGTGTTAAATGTTAGCTACAAAGTAAACAAAAAAGACCTGGTCTCTGTCCTCAAAGAACTTATATTGAAGTTGGGAACACAGATGTGAAAAAAGCGCGTGTTCACACGTTTGGTAGTAGGAAAGAAAGTGTTCAAATCGGGTTAGAGAACCTCATCAGACATAGTAAGAAGTTTGGGTTTTATTTTACATGCACTGGAAGAAACAAGAAAAGGATTAAAGCAAGAGAGTTTTGTAATCCAAGTTACATTTTACCTCACTCTTTCTGGCTGCTGCAGGGAGCGGGTAGTCGAGTGAGAAGGCCAGTCAGTCACAGTGACAAGAAATTACTATGAAAGCGCTAGTGCAGGTGGCATGCGGAGGAAGTGCCCTGAGCCCTGCGGGAGCCCCACTTGCCTGGGCTGGCTGGAAGGTGGAGGGCCGCAGACAGATCGAGGACCAGGCCAGGCGCTGGTTGAGTTGGCAGCTGGTCAGGTGAAAAGCCTCTGGGAAGGGCAGGAGGGTCTTAGGGTCGAAGGAGGCCCAGGCCCGGCACTGCCCTTCTTCTTTTAGCGTGGCCAGAGTGGGGAAGGAGCAAGGAGTCTGCAGCCGAGCGTACTGTCAGAAGAGAAGAGAGCTCAGGCTGGGCACCCCATGTGCTCCTGCCACCCATGCACTGGCGCCGCCACCTGTCTCTCCCCCACGTCTGCCTACCTTCTGGAGTGGACAGCGATGCGGCTCTTCAAGGATCTCCTTGTGTGCGTTCCGACTGGGGACACGTGGTGGAGCTAGGACATCCAGGATAGGAGCCAGGAGTTGGAGTCCCAGGCTGGGGTTCCCAGGAGGGCGGCGCTGGAGGAACTGGTGGTGTCTCAGCACATGGGGACACAGCCTTAGGAAAGAAGCTGAGTCACTTCCCCCAAAGACCCTGCCTCTTCCAGGATCCTGCTTCCCCTGCAGTGGAAGCGTCCTACTCCCCCTGCCACCCCAGCCCAGCCCGTTGCCCTCCTCACTTGCAGGCCAGCTCCTCCAGGGTCTTGATAGCCCACAGGTAGAGGGGAAGTCCGAGCTGACGTTCCCATACCAGCTGCTCATACAGGGAGGCCCCCCAGACTTGGGGAGAAGACTGAGTCTCAGGCTTCTGACGAGAGAAGCCCCGAAGCAGAACGGCACCACGCAGACAAGGGGCTAGCACTGGCCTTTGGGTCCCTCCACCCACCGACTGGAGGAGGTGAACATCCTGGAGCTGGGGGAAAGCAGAAAAAGTGACAAAGCAGAGTGGACGCCAACTCAACAGCCCCAAGCAGAGTTAGCTGCAGCTTTCCACCGCCTGGGCTCCCAGGGAAACCCAATGTTGCCTTTGCAGGTGATTCTCCTTTCAGCCTCTGACACAACCTACTGTCCCTGGGGCAAGCCTTCCTCTCTCACAAGCACCACTAAGGCTTTCCGCAGGCCGGGGGCTCCTGGCTGGTGCGGCTTACCTACTCGCTGGACCACCTGACGTCATTCTGGCCCTAAGTACACTTGTGCTTCACCTCCACCAACTCCTTCTCCTGGTAGAAGGCCCTTCCGTGGAGGAGATGCTCTGGTTCCACCCCTCCTCCCCGTGCCCGCGACTCTACTTTCTGATCTGAGCTCTCATCCAAATCACTTAACAAGCACACATGCCCACCCATACACTTACTATTTTTATATTTTTGCTCTAAAGGTTCCCACCCTGCTGCAAAAAAAGACCAGCATATAAAGGCCAGAGAAGCTGTTGAGAAGCTTCTTTTTGCCACCGGCTCCGATCCCTCACATACCTCCAGAGAGACTCCAGGTCGCAGCACCCGCCTGAGGCCGTGGACTTGCTGGTAAGAGAGGCAGAGCCCCAGCTGCCCATCCAACTCATACAGGCCAGCAGCCTGATTCAGCACGCCAGTGACCGTTCCCTGCAAAGGGGCCAAAGAGTTCGAAGGGTCAGTTGATATTCACTTCATTCCCTGCCCCTCAAGCTCTAGGATCTCTCCCTTATGCTCACAGTATAAGATAAGAGTCTGGAGTCCCGGACAAGATCTTTTTGCATCTTCCTGTCTTGGATGTTGCTTGTCCTAGGGAGCGGCTTGGGGTCAGCCTCCAAGAGGGGTGCACCCAGCTCCGGTTGCAGGTCCAGCTCTTGCACACATTCTGGTTTCAGTGGCAACAGGTGAGACGAGGAACTGGTTGTCCAAACATGGTAACGGTAACCGTGAATCTTGGATACTCGCAGCTCAGTCAGCACATAGGCCCTACCAGGCCAAAGGGCTCGGTGCCAAACCAGCTGGGCAGGGACCTGGCTTGTGCAGAGGCAACATGGCACATGAGACGCGTCTCACAAAGCAATCCTTCTGTCAGAGTCCCTTTCCATCATGGTTGGAACTCAAAGGCCTGCTCCTCATGAGTTTTCTTTGCCTCATCTTCCTTGTTTGCCAATTAAATCTTAAGCCATAGAACTTTCAGGATCTCTCCCTTCTCACGGGAGATGCCAAAAGTTTCCCAATCCCTCCCCCAAGATACAAACCATCCCTAAAACTTCCTTACAAATACATAAACATTCCATTCAGAAAATTATGCCCTTTTTGCATTCCCCCATCCCACTCTATAACATATAAACAACTTCCATTTATTTAATCAATATACACTGGGTACATATGTATCCAGTATTAGGATGGATGTTAAGGGAAATATAAGAGACTGTTCCCTCTTCTCCAACATATTTCAAATCACTAGGGAAACACAGACACAAACCCAGGTAATAACAGGGAGCCATGTGTAATCAAGTGGCAAAAAGAATAGACATTTGCTAAAGTCTCAGGGAAAGAAAGAGGATAGGCTGGAATGATGAGGAAGGCCAAGTGAAAGAAGTGGAATTGAAGGACACCTCTGGTTTGTTGAAGTGGAGAAAGAGAAGGATGATTCAAGCAGGAGACAGCAACATAGAAATGTTTAGACCTTAGAATAAGCAAGGCAATTAAAACGCTGGCCAGGATAGAGAAAAAGAAATGTTCTTGGGAGTTGCAGGAGACAAGATGGGAGAACCAAGATGAGGGGAAAAACAAAACAACACAACCCAGAAATAACATGCTGAAGACTTTAATTTATAGGAAAATGAGAACTATCACAGTAGGAAAATAAAAATAAACACCTTACAGCAGGGCATCATATAGAATGGAGAAGGGTGGTTGGTGAAGAAACGTAAGCCCAAGGAATGAAAGGGACTGTTCATAAATGCAGGCATCTTCCAGGGCAGGCTCCTCCCGCAGGCCCAGCAGCGCTGCTGCCATGCTCAGGGGCGTCAGAACACACTGACAGTCAAGATACTTGAACTTCAGTCTCTTGTGCTCAGCTTCACACACCTTCATTTCTACTCTAAAACCAGCTAAGTACCCTCCATCAGACCTTGGACATCACAACTCGTACGGTATTATTGCTAAGACCTCTCTTAAGCTCCCTGCTTATGCAAAACAAGTAGTTAATAATGGTTTGACTGAACAAACAAATGACTAAATGCTGGTCCTTCCGCATCCCTCCTAGGACCTCCAATATCACAGCCCTTCTTTATTCAATGAGATCCTTCCTTTCCTCTGTTCCAATATGGCGTCACCACAGCTCCTTCCTCAACTCCTCTTCTAAGGCAAAAAAACAATCGAGGAAGACAGACCCTTGCCACCCCAGTGCCAAACACTGACGCCGACCCTCCCCAGCTGGGCCCTGTCGTGGCTAAGCAATCTCTTATCCCCAACCATCCAGCACAGCACTTACCCTGAACCTTTACTCTTTTCAGAGTCCAGGTCTCCATTATCAAGAAATGACCTCACTCTTCTAACAAAGAAGAAATTCACTGGGGTCATCTAGAGTGACAGTATGTCTCCAATGTCTCTCCAGCAGCCCCTAAGTATACCAAGATCCCTGCTCCCCTGAACTCCCAGGCTTATTCCAAAGCCCACCTCTGCACCCTCACAGGGCCTTGTGCATGTGCACGTGCACGTTCCCGTCGCAACCCTCACGGACCCGAACAGTAACTGTTTAAGAGCTTCCAGGGACAAGAGCCATTACCTTATTCAATTTTGTGCCTCTGAACTGACCAAAGTGCCTGGCATTATAGTACATACTTGATAAAGGTTGAATGTTGGTACAGGTGGTTCTCCAGTCCTGAATAGCCTCCCCTCTCTTCTAGTGATTTAAACCCTGTCCAACCTTCAAGACCCAGGTCAAGTCTAAACTCTCATAAGGCTTCCCTCCATATAATAAACTCCCTGACCTGCTAACAGCAGTTACAAACTATACCACCCATCTTAGAGTTTACATACAGTTTTGGATCACTCTATGCTAACTTCATAAATTAATACCATATAACATTTACAACAAAATTGTAAACTGCCCGTGGGGCTTATCCTACTTTAGTCACCCTGCAGAAATTTAAGTGCATTTCAGAGATTTCTCTCTTGCCATCTTGACATATAGTACATGAATGAGCCAACTGCGCCTGCACCGGCTTTTTGAATGGTCTCTAGAAAAGTTAAAATATTCTAAAGTAAAGAAAATACAATACATAAACACTTCTTTAACCCAGGAGGAAAAAGTAAGATCAGAAATTTCAGTGTCTTCTGAGAATTTTGTTTTAGCGTTTTCAGTTCCAATATACTCTAGTCACTGTTATTCAAGCTCATGACACACACAGACACAGTTAAGAATTCTAACAGTGCTAATAAATTTCAGTTTCTTTTTTTGATATGCATGTTTAAAAGCCTTCTCATGCTTTCATTGTTTTGAATGCTTTTGGAACCTCATTCAGGTAATTATATAAGTCATATACAAATAATAAGTGTAAAAATTAATGATAGTAAAATTGTACCAGTTGATAGAATCAAAAATAAGTACCAAGTTTTAACAAAGTGTATGTATTCAATCTCTTAATGATGTTCCAGGTAAGTACTTTTCTTGGTCATCCTTCCAAGGCAGAAGAAAAACAAGTGATTCTGGCAGGTTTTCAAAATGTCACATGATAAAAAAAAAGTTGTCTATTCAATGAACTGTGCAGCAGAAGTCTATTTCCTACCTCCTGTAGACAGGAGTGACATTACCTGGAACTGTCCCTCAACATAAACTGTTCCAGAAAACAACTCTCCCCAGCTGTCCTCCTTTCCTACACGGTTCCGCATATGATGTTATTTTCCTAGTAAAAGTTCTAACACCCTTCCACATCCCCACGCCCCTGAACTGACCCTAATCCTCACCTGCACAATGATGGATACACAGCTGCCAGCTTGGCTGCCAGCTGGGGACGATTCACCTAGAGACAGGATGAAGTAAGTTTTCTTTTGACTTTTCACCAGAGCACTCAATCGAACCAGCTTCCCGGCCAGGTTTCGCTGCACAACTCTGAGCTTGCTACTAAAGAAGGTAGAACAAAGAGAGAAAAAAATCATTATTTTTCTTCTTTGCCCCTACAAATGCCTCCCCTTCCCTGTGAAGAATAATCCAATAGTGATGTAAAATTGCTATTTTCCCACAGCTATTCCAAAGAGGCCTATCGTTCCCTCGATTTGGAACATTCCATCAATATTACTCTCAATACCTTTCTCCCCTTCTTTCCACTGACCCGCCATCACCCTCCCAGTTTCAGAGTGCTCCCCCCTCCCCTAGAGAGGGAAGAATTACCTGTGCCTCAGTAGGCGGGAAGCAGCCTCCGGGTAGAGGACAGGAACGGGGGTAGAAGGGCCAGTACTGACGGTCAAGGGCAACACTGGCACGGGGCCACCCCAGAGCTCCAAGTGCCCTTTCCCTGAGGATTCCCACCTAGCAGGAGGAAGGTAACTCCAACTGGGGAACAGAAAGAGATGGCCCAACCAAGAAAGATCCAGATCTATGAGCTAGAAAACACCAAAACCAAGAGTTAGTCAGGATCCTAGCATCCCATTTACCTGCCTCAGCCTTTGTTTCCTGAGACTTAATTGCCTCGTTCCCTAGACACCAGTCTTATTAGGATCTGAGGCATCTGACTTTCTCCTTCCTACTCACCTCGCAGCCCAGGGTACCAGTGTTATCTTTCACATAGAGGCTTCCGTTCCTGTCCTCTTGTTCTGAGTCCCCTGATAGGTCTGTTAGTGTCCCTAAAAGTAACAGCCGCTCCCGGGGCAAGGGGCTCCCACTCAGTCCAGCCTCTTGAGCCCACGTCTGGTACGCAGCACTGCTCCAGGACAGGTGGCTGCAGCATGGCAGGCGCTGGTGGCTCCTGAGGTCCCGCACTGAGACAAAGCTGCAGAATGAAGGGAGAAAATTCTTGCAAAGCTGTGTCCAAGCCTAGGAAGTTACCCTCAGCCCTGACAAATCCCCCAATATCCCAAGGAAAGGTCAGTGGGGAAACATGGACTAAGACAGAAGTTTGATTGGTTGAAGGGGAAAAAGCTGGGGCAAGGAGCCTAAGAAAATGAGGATGGGATCTGGGTTCAAAGATTGGGCAGTCTAGGAAGAAAGTAGGGAAGAAAGTCTATGCTGAATAGTATCTTGAACAAGATAGTGTCACAGAAAGGACCCAGAGAAATGAAGCAGGTATGCAAGAGTGGCCTGAGGAGATGAGTGTAGGGAGAACACTTTATAGATGCCACAAACAGTTCCCTTGACAACATCTCCTCTCTTAAATTCACAGAAAACTTCAATGGGGCCGCATAGGCATCTTCCTAATGGCTCAACCCCAATGGTACCAGCCAGGCTTCCTTCCTAGTCTAGAATGTCCTATTACTAGAGCCTAGCTGTGGAGCTGAGGATGAAATGGGAGTTGGTATCAAGAGTTTCCTAATCCTTTATTTTTTTTCAGTTAACTTTTATTTTTATTCTTATTTTTTAAATTTTAAAAAATATATTTATTGATTTTAGAGAGAGAGGAAGGAAGAGACAGAAACATTGATGTAAGTGAGAGAGAAACATCAATCAGTTGCCTCCCATATGCTTCCTGACTGAGGATTGAACCTGCAACCTAAGTATGAGGCCTGACTGGGATTCGAACCAGCAACCTTTTGGTGTATGGAATGACACTCCAACCAACTGAACCACCTGGCCAGGGCACATATGGCCTCTTAATGTAAATTAGATTAAGCCGGTCCTCTCCCTATTTTTTATTTTTTTCCTCCCCTTAATTCCCCTCTACCCTACACCCCCATGTCACATCAGCATTTTCCACTACCCTTAGTTCATGTCCAGGGTCATACATATAGGTTCTTTGGCTTCTCCATTTCCTATACTATTCTTAATCTCCTCCTGTCTATTTTGTACCTACTATTTATGCTTCTTATTCCCTGTACCTTTTCCCCCATTCTTCCCCCACCCTCTCCCTTCTGATCTTCATTTCTGTGATTCTGTTCCTGTTCTAATTGTTTGCTGAGTTTGTTTTCGTTTTTTCTTTAGGTTCAGTTGTTGATAGTTGTGAGTTTCTTCTCATTTTACTGTTCATAGTTTTTGATCTTCTTTGTCTCAGATAAGTCCCTTTAAAATTTCATATAATAATGGCTTGGTGATGATGAACTCCTTTAACTTAACCGTATCTGGGAAGCACTTTATCTGCCCTTCCATTCTAAATGATAGCTTTGCTGGATAGACTAATCTTGGATGTAGGTCCTTGCCTTTCATGAATACTTCTTTCCAGCCCCTTCTTGCCTGCTAGGTTTCTTTTGAGAAATCAGCTGTTAGTCTTATAGGGAACTCCTTTGTAGGTAACTGTCTCCTTTTCTCTTGCTGCTTTCAAGATTCTCTCTTTATCTTTAATCTTGGATAATTTAATTATGATGTGCCTTGGTGTGTGTTTCCTTGGGTTCAACTTCTTTGGGACTCTCTGAGCTTCCTCGACTTCCTGGAAGTCTATTTCCTTAGCCAGATTGGGGAAGTTCTCCTTCATTTTTTTTTTTTCAAGTAAGTTTTCAATTGCTTGCTCTTTCTCTTCTCCTTCTGGCACCCCTATGATTCAGATGTTAGAATGTTCAAAGTTGTTCCAGAGGCTCCTAAGTCTCTCATTCATTTGAATTCTTGTTTCTTCATTCTGTTCTGGTTGAATGTTTATCTCTTCCTTCTGCTCCAAATCGTTGAGTCCCGGTTTCCTCCCCTTTACTGTTGGTTCCCTGTATATTTTTATTTATTTCACTTTGCATAGGCTTCACTTCATTTTTCCTCCACTTTGTGACTATACTCAACCATTTCTGTGAGCATCCTGATTACCAGTGTTTTGAACTGTGCATCTGAACTGTGCATGATAAGTTGACTATCTGTTCATCGCTTAGTTATACTTTGGAGCTTTGATCTGTTCTTTCAGTTGGGCCATATATCTTTGACTCAGCACACCTGTTATAGTGGAAGGGGCGGGGCCTTAGGTATTGGCCAGGGCAGGGCAACCCAGGTCACTGTGTTGTGATGCTGTATATGGGGAGGGGTCTGAGAGGGAACAATGCCACTCGCTGGGCTCTCAGCGGGCTTTCAGTCACTGCCCCTGCTACCTACAAGCAAACTGGGCCCTTCTGGTGCTGATTCCTGGATGGGCGCGGTTGTGTATGATCTAGGACCCTATGGGTCTCTCCAATGAACTCTACTTTGAGGCTGGGAGTTTCTCCCACCACTGCAACCCCCACAGGTTTTTACCTCCAGAGGGTTTGAGGCTTTCTTTTCCCACACTGGAACCCTGGGTTGCGTGGTCTGTCACTCCCCAGCTGTTCCTCCCGGTTTATCCTCAAACAATTGTGGGACCACCTGGCCCACCAGCCTCCGCCTCATCTTGCTGCCTGTCTCCATCCCTCCTACTGGTCTGGATGAATGTTTCTTTAGCTCCTTGGTTGTCAAACTTCTATATAGTTCAATTTTCTGGCAGTCTGGTTATTTTTTGTTTTTAAATTTGTTGTTGTCCTTCTTTTGGTTGTGTGAGTGGCAAAATGTATCTACCTATGCCTCTATCTTGGCTGGAAGTTTTCAAGAGTTTCCAAATCTTAAGAGATAGACGAGATTAGCCATTTTTAAAGTGTTGCAACACTGCTGAGTCGCTATTCATTGTAAGGTGTATCCTAAGTAATTTGATAAATAATAGTTAAATTAGCAAAGTTGTGGTAGGCTAACATCTTTGAATATCATCATTCCACACATTTGCATCCCCATGATTTTTTGAGTATAAATGAAGCAGGACAAGTTTACAAAATATCACGATTTACCCTTGTTGTACCATGAACATCACCCATGTATGAGTACTGAAGAGTGGGAATGCCCACTCCCCTGTCACATGTTTCATTCCTTCCCAAGTGGCTTTGGAGCAGATAAAAGGCAAAGACACAAACTAACATGTGTTGAGCCCCTGTTATGCATATGCTATGCTGGGTCTGTTCATGCTCGATATTGTACTGAATCTTCACCAAAACCCCTCATAAAACCACAAATGGAGAGAGAGAGGTTCAGGCAAGGCCTGTGTGCCTTTCTCAAAAGCCCATGTTCTTTCTCTGTTTCCCTACTTCTCTAAAGGCCCAGGAAAAAGTAATGGGAGAGAGCTGATTCTCTACCCTTCAGGACAGAAACCTAAAAATAGCAATCACTTTTCCCAGATTCTTTAGAGTCCGAGTCAGGACTGAAGGTAATAACCTGAAATCCTTTGCATCTGTCATTGCTCTTCAACTTTCAAGGCCGAGCATAGGGCCTAGCACACAGCAGACAATCAATGAAGAATGAAAAAAATTAGTGTTATTTTTATCTTTCAAATTTCTATACCAAATTTACATTTATCTTGAATAACAAAAAACTTAAAGGTTCCAGTGTCCTAAAAACCACTGATTTACCACTTTTCCATTTTTCTAGTAATGCCAGAATTTTGAGATTTGGACCTTCCTGTAATTACATGGTGATTACTGAGGTCACTAGTCACCACCAGTGGGAGACCCCAACCCCAGAGCAGTAGAGACTTCATGGGCATCACAACTCCTTCAACTACAAGTAGTTCTCCTGTCCCAGGACTTTTCCCACACTAGCTGGGCAGCTTTCAAATGAGATCTCATTCTGTATTTAAAGAAACAATGTACTCTTAAAAATTATGAACATGAATTGTAAGTAAAGAAAGGAAAAACAGAGTCCAATAGAGTTAAATGAGAAGAGTTACAAAGGGGGAAAAGAGCCTCCAGGTAACAGGACCCTCAAAAATTACTTTGGAATTAAAATATTTAATGCCTATCAAGTAGACCAAAAAAAAAAAAAAAAGTAAAAACCATGTAAGAAAAAAGTTCAGGGTACAGATGTATGTTGGTATGTGTGTCAACTAGTATGACTCCATTGGAGAGCAATGTGAAAACAGCTACTGAAGCTAAGGGTGTTCATACCCAATCAGCCTGCCCTTCCTTTCAGGACACTGATTACTTAAAAAGAAGGCGTAGGGGAGAACTGGACCAGGATAAAGCACTTACGAGACCTCGCTAAATCTAACATTTTACTTCTTCTGAAGAACTAAAGCAAATGTGGCAAAATGTTAAGGTTTTTAAAAGTTGAACCTTAAGTACCTGGCTAATCACAATGCCAACAAGCACACTGTTTAGCTCAGCTGACTCTTTTTCTGCAGGCGAGACTTTCTCAGTGAAGACAGCAGTGTGTTGATTTACATTCTGGTGGACCAGCATTTTTAGTTAGCACTGGTTTATTATTTATTTATTTGGTTTGCAATTCTTTTTGTCTTTATTCTGAAGCTACATAGTTCAAGTAAATCTTTCACCCTTCTGTGTAGTTATGAATAGTATTTTAATGTATTTGTTTCTCTCAGTACTCCATTTTAGGAGTTTCCCCCCAGATCCTTGTTGATTCTAATCTTTTAAAATTAAATTTATTGGGGCAACATTGGTTAATAACACTATATAATTTCCAGGTGTACAAGATTATACTTCTTGTGCTCCTCACACAAAGTCTAATTTCCCTCTCTTACCTTGGATGTGACCCCTTTACCCAGCTCACCCTCCCTCCACCGTTTCCCCTCTGGTAATCACCATTCTGTTGTCTAAGAGTTTGTTTTTTTGTTTTGCTTGTTGACTTTCCGTTTTACATTCCACAGGAGTAAAATCATACAGTTTTTGTCCTTTTCCATCTCACTTATTTCACTTAGCATAATACTCTCAAAATCCATCCATGTTGTTGCAAATGGTAATTATTTCATGTTTCTTATGGCTGAGTTGTATTCCATTGTGTATGTATGTACATGTATCACATTTTCTTTATCCAATCATCCATCAATGAACACTTAGATTGTTTCCATGTCTTGACTATTGTAAATAATGCTGCAATAAACATAGGGGTACATATATCTTTATATGTAAGTGCTTTCATACTTTTGGGGAACATAACCAGAAGAGGAATTGTTGGACCATATGGTAGTTCTACTCTTAGTTTTTTGAGAAAGCTCCATACTGTTTTCCATAGTGGCTGCACTAATTTACATTCTCACCAACAGTGTACAGGGTTCCCCTTCTTCCATATCCTCTCCAACGTTTGTTATTTACCATTGGTTTATAATGAAGTCCATGGATGAGAAAAATGGCACAGAATTTTGGAAATGGTGTTTTGGATAACAAAGAGTACAGTTAAGATGTCTTCTCACCAAAGATCCCGTCTTTACTGACTGAGACAGACTGCCAGGCTGAGAGGATTAGAAGCAGGTGAAGGGAGGGCCAGGGAAAAAGTACCTTCTCTCGGGTTTGGGAAATTACAAATTCAACAAAGCTAAACAGATTTCTACCTTTTTTATTTTTTAAAAGATAAACGCACAGTGATTCGTATACTCACATATTATAGAATACCACAGAGCAGTTAAAATAAATGGGTTAGAGCTATCAATAAGAATAAATCTCAGAAGCATAATGTGAAGTGCAAAAAGCAAACTGCAAAGGACATATATAAATGGTATTTATATAAATACTAAAGGTATGCAAAACTACTATATATTGATTAGGGATAAATACATGTGTAGTAAAAATACTAAAGATATTCACATAAAGAATAGATCCCCTTTTCAAGACAGTAGGTACTTGTATAAGGAGGTGTCTTTTTGTAGGATTTTCAGAGTCTTTAATATGTTAATGAGTCTCATGACTCTTCTAGAATAGCTTATCATATCCAATGTCTCTCAAATTTATTTAGCCATGAGCCTTTCTTAAAAAAACAAAAAAAAAAACAACAAACATTTTATTTTGAGAGTACATTAAAGCTGGGGACAGTGAAACAAGGAAGGGCTAGCATAGAAGCAGCATCAGGAGAGAGCCGAGGTGCGGCTGCTCTGGCTCATTGGAAGTCAGAGGAAAGGGGCCTTGGGACCGGCGGGGCGGGGGGAGCTAGGGATGAGCTGCCACTGCTCATTGCTCCCTCCCCCTCTGCAAGTCTCACGGGGTCCCTTAGAGCAGGTCCCTTAGAGCGCAGATGTGCACCTGTGGGGGAAGAAGAGGCAAAGGGAAAGGGGCGGGCGTGCTCCCGGGAGGAAGAACGTGCCCATGGAGCCCTTTTCTTGTGCTATTTTATTAATATTGCCTATGAAATAATAGGCAAAAAAACAGAAATACCTTTCAAAGACCTTAAACTCAAGTGTTCTTAAATACTACTATCTGCACTTGGTGGATCATAGTTTCCTAATACAGAAAATGAAATGGTATCAGTTTTTCTCCCCACTTAAGAGTTCTTTCTTTAAATTTTCTTTCAATCTTCTTCTTGTCTTCTCCCTTCGTTTTCTTGTCTTTAAACTTTACTTAAGCCAATTTTGGAAAACTATGGGAAAAGCAAAGCAGCTTGATGGAGAATGAAAAAGTGTGGCAGACAGGAGGTATGTTCATACCACCTTTTCTTCCTCTTAGCAAGTTTACCCTCACTCTTCTCAGGTCCTTCCTCTCCAACTCCGAACTGAACTACCCCCTGAACCCCACCTCTCCTTACCTGTAGCTGAGGGGCAGTGTAAAACCCTGGTTCCTTCCCTGAGACAACCACGTAGTCTTCACACAGTCAATTACCAACTGAGTCAACTGGACATTAGTCTCCTTGCCAGCTGGACACAGGGTCTCTTGGATGAAGGCCTGGGCAGCCTCAAGCCAGGTTTGTTCCTGAGGAAAGTGAATCTAGTTAAAACATCTTCAGGACAACGCTGCCAACCAAGGATATTTTGGAAAGAATAACAGGGGAAAAAAAATTAAGAGGCCATGTAAAATCAATAAAGAGAACATGTAAAGGAATTTAGAGCTTAAAGAAACCTTAGAAATCTTTAGTCCAGCTATATAATCAACTCAGACAGCTGGCCATCCAGCTTTGGTCTTGCCCCTTTCTCTAACGACCTGCACCAATGCTTAAAGTGCTCAAGTGGAATTTTTACTCCTCTGTGATCCCTTCTCTGACCACCCCAGGCAAAATGCTGTTTCCTCCTTGAAACTCCCACAGCACCTTGCACATACCTGTATTAAGAGCAATGATCACCAAAGAGAATGGAACTCCATTTTATGTACAGTCTGGTTCTAAAGCCAGCAAGTTGAAAAAAATATTGGTCAAAATCACCCTTTAAAAAAAAAAGTCTCTTATATTGCCCATAAAGAATAGGATATAGTACTATATAGCAATATACATGAAAACAGAGATATGCCTAATAATGAATAGTATACAAAAAGGACATTAGTAGAGTGTAATTTTTTTAATCCTCACCCAAGGATATGTTTTTATTGATTTTTTGAGACAGAGGAAGGAAGAAAGAAACATCGATCAGTTAGTTTTCTCCCGTACACTCCCGAGCTGGGGCTCAAACCCACAACCTAGGTATGTGCCCCTGACAAGGAATCGAACCCGCAACCTTTTGGTGTACAAGAGGACGCTCCAACTGAGTCATCTGTCCATTTGAATTCCCATAAGCTAAATACATATATAATAGAATCTCATTAGATTTGTTTCTTGTTCCACCTTTTCTGCTAAGATGTGTGCTTTTTTACTAAGGAGGACATGAACCATATTTGTATACTTGCCACAGATTCTGAACACATAATTGCCTCTATGAAGATAACTCTAGGGCACAGTACCAGCTTGGCTTACTCCCAGTGCTAGGCAGCTTCATTTTATAATTCTGACAGAGTTTAATACTTAGGGGGAAGGACCTTTATCCTTCTTAGTCCCCACTGATAATTCTAAAGCATTATAGGTCTATCCCTACTCCTCCAATGCTCCCCTATTAGCCCTCTGGTCAATCCTCCACATTCAGTTAATCTTTAGCAAAAACCAGTCTTCAAGTTCTAGATGACCTCAGTGTCCTTGTGGACACCACCATTGACTTTCACCTTCACTCCGCCTCGGCCGAACACTCATTCATGGCCAGGGTTGTCACACTTGACCAGGCCATCATTCAGAACTGCCCACCAGCATAATCACAGCTCATACTTCTTGTCTTCCTCACTTGGTCATCTTTTTTAGCCCCCATTCCTCTGAAAGCCTGTCAATTGCCTCGTACATTGAACACTACCGTTTCTCAAAGCTGTACCTCAGAATCATCCGTTTTATTAAAAATGCAGGTGATTTTTTAGATGATCTCATTTACTAATCAGAATGAGGTGGGCAGAGTATTTTAAATAAACTCCCCAGGCTGATACTGGCATAGGCTGAAGTTGGAGAACACTAGGCTTTCCTCTCAATGACCTCACCCACTGGATGTCACTGACAGATGCTGACTGTTCCTAAATCTCTACTTTAGCCCTAGTTACATCCTGTGTCTGTCCGTTTCTCCACCTGGGCAACCTACAGGCACCACTGATGCTCACCACTGACTTTTCACAAAATCCACTCCTCTTCCAGGGCTAACTCAGCAAATAGCACCCTGAACCAAACAGTTCCACCCTGAAACCCGGCCGTCCCCTTAACTCCCTTCCGTTCCCTCCGTAAGGCCCAAGTCCTCTGGATCTATCTCCTTAATACATTTTTTAACTCTGGTACCTCAACATTGCTGCCGTGGTTGGGATCATCATCCTCTCTCACAACACTTCAACCACAGCCTCCTAACTGGTACTCTCTAGACCACTCTCTGCACTGTTACCTTGAGAAATGAAAACACAAATCTCATCCGGTCATTTTTCTGCTTAAAATCCTTACTAACTTCCAATTGTCCTCAGGTTAAAGTCGCTGCTTAGCTAGACTTAAAAGACTGTCAGCCCTGGCTGGTGTGGCTCAGGGGACTGAGGGCTGGGTTGGAGGCCAGGTCCCCAGTTTCGGGCGTGTGAGAGGCAGCCGATCGGTGTTTCTCTCCCTGTCTCCTTCCCTCCCCAACTCTAAAAATAAATAAATAAAATCTTTAAAAAAAAGAAAAGACTCTCAGCTCTGATCCCTCCATCATTACTCGGTTGGACTTCTTGAATTTTTCAAAGACGCCTTCTCTACTTCTTGCCTTTAAACATGTTTTTACTTCTGCCTTGAAACCTTCTTCGGTGCTTTTTGCTTTGCTAACTCTTACACGCACTGAGTCTCAAAAGCTTTTCCAGATTATCAGTAACACTGCGTCACGGGTCTCCATCAAGAACCCACAGCATACAGTTCGCCGTGAGTCTGCTCCTGGCTGCCCACAGGACTTGAAGTCTAGAGAGTGGACCGACGTGTGTTCAGGGACCACAGCGGGGGCCACAGGAAAGAAGGAATAAACGTACTTGCAGAACCAGTGAAAGCGGTAGGACAAGCAGCTTCACAGGTTCCCCCTCGTCCGGGGGGGGGCAGCGAAGTCAGGGAAGCAAAGAAACAGGGGGGAGAACAGGAAAATAAAGGAAATCGGGACAGACAAGAAAAAGGACGTGAGACGCAGACCAGCACTCACGGAGTCAAGTGCCTGAGGGCGACAAACCGCCATCACACACCGGCGGCTCTGCCGCGGGAGGTAAGCAAACCGCCGTTGGCGCGAGGACTCACGGGAGGGCCTCTCTGTGGCGTCATCATCGGGCGCGGTCCGTCCGGGCTCCACCTCGGGCTCCTCCCCACCCAGCATCCTCAAAAGCTGTGTGTGTCCCTGCCAGCTCTGCCTTCTCAGGCACCTGGATTTCCCTTACCCAATAAGATCCTGTCTGGTATCCCTAGAATGGGGGCAGGGAAGCTCAGGACCTCAAACACAGCCGGCCTGCTTGATGACACATAGCATCTTTAGATTTGCCTGATCTAGCCGAGCAGAGAGAAGTGTTTCTTCCTCAACGCAGCCATAGTACATCATTCATACATTGCTGTAATTCCTAACTGTTTACCCGACTTGGGTGTGAGTAGTTAGGAGCTTTATGCTATTTATTCTATTTATCTTTGTATTCTGGTGCCAACTCTTTTGGCAACAAGCACTGTTCCCAAAGGAGTTGAAAAACATATAGCTACACACTAAAATGTTTTGGGGGTATTTATTGAAGCTTTTTTCATAATTGCCAAAACTAGGAAACAACCAAGATGCCCTATGGTAGGTAAATGGACAAATTGTGTTACATCCAAACAAGGGATATTACTAAGCTCCAAAAAGAAATGATCTACCGAGTCGTTAAAAGACATGGAGGAAACTTCAGTGCATATTACTAAGTGAAAGAAGCCAATCTGAAAAGGCTGAGTACTGTATGATTCCAACTATATGACATTCGGGAAAAGGCAAAACTGGAGACAACAAAAAGATCAGTGACTGTCAAAGATTGTGGGGAGACAAGGATGAATAGTCAGAGCACAGTGAATTTTCTGGGCTTTGGATGATAATGTGTCAATATACGTCTATCAGTTGTAACAAGTGTTACAATTGGGAATGCTGTTGGCAGATGCTAATAGTGGGAAAGGCTATGTGTGAGGTTGAGGTACATGGGAAATCTCTCTACTTTTCCGTCCAGTTTTGCTGGGAACCTAAAACTCCAAAAACCAGTCTGTTAAACAAGTATGTATGCAGCCCTGGCCTGGTAGTTCAGTTGGTTAGAGCGTCATCCCTTTATGCTAAGGTTGCTGGATTCATCCCCAGTCAGGGCACATACAAGAATCAACCAATGAATGCATGAATAAGTGGAGCAATGAATTAATGTTTCTGTCTCTCTCTCGAATAAAAAATAATATATATATATATATATATAATTTAAAGAACAGTGCTTGTTGCTAATTATTTGACATGATAAATATTTGTTAGTCAAATAATGAAAGCTTCTGCTCTCCCTAATTCAGTCAACCAGCCAATCATTTCCTGGCTTATTAGGCAGTGGAGTCCACAGAATTCATGCAACTATGTGCCAGGCACTGTTCTGGGCTCTGGGCATACAGTAGTGAAAAAAACATAAAAATCCCTGCTCTCATGGAGCTTACACTGTAGGACAAGGAGGCTTACAGTTAAAAAAGAAAGTAAAATGTGTGGGACGTTCGTAAAAAGTGTAATAGAGAAATAGGGAATGCAGGTGGTGGTGGGTCTCTTTCACATAGAGAAGCCTTTAGTGACAAGATCACTTTATAGTAAAGTCAAGGATTCACATGATGGGGATCAAAAGAAAGAATGGCCAGTGGGAACCAAGCACAAAGGCCCTGTGGGGGAAAGGCAAGGAAGATAGTGAGGCTGAAGGGGAGGAGAAATTAAAGAGGTAAAGCGAGAGAGGGGCATTTAAGGCCATTGCACACTTACGGCTGCTTCAAATCATTTTTGGAACAAGATAGAGTAAACATTGATTATGAGATAGTAAGTATAAACATTGTAGACAATAAAACTCCTCTAGTCATTTAACAGAAAAGTAAAGACTTTGATTTTACAAGTTACGATATCATCTAATTCAACTTCACTTTTGATGCAAGCTCTCTGTCAAACATACTCAAAGAGTCAAGAGGCTTGTCTAGAAATAATTGACAAAGATCTATTCAAGGGTCTTAGTATTTGAAAACTGTAAACACAGCTAGACAAAAACCTAGAAGTGTTCCAAAGAAGAAAGAAAAGTTAAGAGCTCTTATAGTAAAAAGAACGTTCTTGAGAATTATCAGTTCTGCATTCTTAGCCCTAGGATTGGCCCAGAATGGTTATCAGTCAAATGTCAGGTGGTCTGTATGATGGATGCCAAATGGTCTGGAAGATGGGCACCAGGAGGTCTGGTCACATCCAGTGGTCTGGAGAATGGATGTTAGCTGGTCTGGATGTGAGTCCTTCGGTGGGCTAACAGGTTACCTGGTGCTCTGGCGTGTGTCTATATGTATATCCTGGCATTGTCACAGGGCTGAAAAGTTCACAAAGTTTAAGTTCCCAGGCTAGTGTGAACAAAAATAGAGTCTTTCTTCATGCCTCAACCTTCATAGCATTAGTAATTTTAGCAGCTTGGTTCAAGCGACTCCATTTTATGTGTTTCCCATCTTCACTGTTTTTCTCATCTCTATTCCTTATTGCATGAGCTAGTTAAGCACTGTGGTGCTGAGTTCTTTATAAAGTGAATCTTTGTTTGCAGTTTTGTTCCATCGTTATGTGAGAGGTGTGTTTCTTTCCTTTCCACCGAAACAATAAGAAATCCCCCAGAAGACGCTGAAACCTCTCTCTCACTACACTCCAGCCACACTGGCTCCCTTATCAGAACATTAGTCAAAGCCTAGTTAAAGTCCCAAACCTAATCCTTTAGCTTTTAGTATTTTCTCAACTCTGGAATACCCCACTCTATTTATTAAATCCAGGAAGATGTGCCCTACATCCTTAGATTTACTTGTAATAGTTTATAGAAAGCAGAGTTATTTTTAGGTTATGGTGATCAGAGAGAGTTGTGTTGGACACTTCCGTCACTGTGATTTAAATGTCACGTTAAGTGCTTAGTGTGGTGGCAGTATGCAAGACCCAGTGAGAGGGGCACCCGAGAAAAGGAGGCCACGGAATTAAATCAGGCATGATTTAATAAGTACCCTACAGGAAAGTGTTGGTTGGAAGATGTTAGGGGACCATGGAAAAGAGTAGTTGGTCTGTTGCAGAGGGAGGGAAGTGTGGAGGATTGGGAGCTGTCTCACACCTGGTGATTTTGAACAGTCTCTGCTTGTCCAGAGGACAGCTGGAGCTATGGGACCAAAGTCAGGAGAAGAATCAGGGCCAAAGGGATGAATCTGGAAGTCACTATGTGGAAGTGAACTCTGAAATGTTGTGGTACACTGGGAGTGCTAAAGTGTGGAGGAGTCAGGACCACACAGACAGACAGACAGACAGACAGAAAGCTGAGCAAAGTAGGGCTCCCTGAAAGAGCAGGAAGACAGATATAAGGCAGATCCAGGGAGTGCCTAGAGGGAAAGAAAACCAGGAGCGACGTTTGGCCTCTGTCAGAAGTGAGCCAGAGAGTACTTATTTCACTTATTTCAATAGCCTGGAAGCTTTCGCACCAAATAGGTAATAACTGCCACATCTGCAGCAGGGCTGGAATTAAGGCCAGGCGAGTGAGGCACCTAAAATTTATTACATTTGACACCCTAGGTGCCTCACTTGCCATACCCTAGTCTTGACCCTGTACTGGAGAGAAGACTGAAATAGGGGGTTAGGATGAGGATAAACACTTTCACTTTTTACTCCTCGTTCTGCATTGCCTGAATCATTAAAAAGACCTTTGGGCGAGTTATTGTGTTTGACCTGGTGCACCACTGCAGCTTCCTAGCCCTCAGGCTTCAAGCTGGATTTGCGCAATAGGAAACAAGAAAGAAGTTTGTAGAGAGACACAGGGACAGAAGGGGAGGAACCCAGTGTTTATTCCTTTTCTCCCTCAACACTGTATTTGTGGCTTCATTTGTTCTGTTGGATGCCCTTCTTTCATGGGCTCATGAAGTAAACTTTGATAGTGAACTGTTATTCACTATCTCTATCAGCTGATAACACCATTCCTGCCTTTGTCCCTTCAAGCCTACGGAAGGTAACCACTTTCTGCTGGTGCCACGCTCTGGTTGACCTACTGTACTTTGTTGGTTCCCTGAATCCTGACCTCATCCCTGTAATTAGACTATTAAAATGCTTATTGATTAAACCCTTTCCAGTGTGCCATCTTTTTTGGTGATAGGATCCTGACTAGTACAACCATAGATTTCTGATTCATGAGGTTTTAAAAATATATTGGGTCCATCAAAAAGTTCATGTATTTTTTTCTGTAAAGACATATTTTTAAATTTTTACCAATAACTTTATTGATTTGGATATTTTGAGTATGTTGGCTAGCTCACATGTGGTATAATATTGATTGTTCTCAGGTAATGTCTTGATTTGATTGCTATCGACTTCAACTGGTCTACCCGACTGTGGAGCATCGTCCAGCAAGAAATCTCCAGCACAAAACCTCGCAAACCACTTTTAATGTGTTCACTCAGTCACAGCACCTACTCCATACATGGCACAATACTTTTTTTGCATTTCAGTTGCATTTTTACCTTCCTTGAAATAATAAAACCATAACATGCCAAAAATGTTTTCTTTCATCTTCAGTAATAAAATGGCTACACAAAAATTCACCAATTTTTGTTTTCTTTAAATGCACACTGATATAACAGCTGTCACAATACAACCTTAACAAAATTGTTTCTAATGAAGTTAAAGACAACTAGAGCCATCTCAGGGGGAAAAAAAACAAATGAAGTTTTCGATCAACCCAATATGTAGGTAGAAAGTGCTAAGAAGAGTTTGAGTTACAAAACTAGGGAGCAAGTCATTGCAATGAGCCTCAGCGCCCTTATGGGTGCTCAATAAATGTTTTCTATCACTATTATTGTTACTAAAACTAGCAAGAATATTTAAATTAAAAATACATGCCCCCCCCCTTTTCTAGGAATTAAATAATTTCATTTATTCAGGAAACATAAGAGAAAGAAAGCCAAGGGAGCAAGGTAGAGCAACAGTCCTGGACATGGGTGATGTTTCTCATTCTGCAGTACCTGTCTCTGTCACAGTTTGCACGAGGACAAGAGAGGAGGGGATACAGGACTAACTGCATTTTCACGAACGTCAACTCAAAACAGATTTGCCGGATAAACCAACGCGGGGAGATGCGTCTTTAAAAAGACGCGGCGGCAGCGCCCCTTAGGCTTCGCTTCCTTCCTTCCGCGGCGCGCGCTCATTACGTAACTAGCGCGCCACGATTCGAGGACTAGCGGAGGCGGGAGGACCACGTTCTCGTGAGTACGGCTAGCTCGCCTGTCGGGATACTCCTGCATACCGCACCCTATCGCCACCCACCCCAAACCTGATCCAGGCGTCTTCAGTATCCCCAGCGGGCCAGCGTGTATCTGTGTGGGGCCCGCCAGTTTGCTTTAACGTAGGCGTCCATTGGACGCCGGGCAGAGAAGACGCCAGTTACAGTTATCCCCTCTCTCTAACATAGAAAAAACCTGTCGACCCCCTAGTTTACAGACGGTAAAGGAGTATCAGGAGAGTGGTGTCATTGAAGCCAAGAGAGGAGGGTGTTTCAAGAAATCGGGAATGAATGTCAGATGCTGCTGAGAGGTTAAGATGAGTGACCTCTGAATAACAACATTGCAATCCTTGGTGACTGACGGATTAGTCAAATTCAGCTCTGAGTAAGTTAAGTTAGGTTTGAGACTAGGACCAAGTGGAGAAGTGGGGCAATGAGCTTTCCTTTCTCCCGCTTCCTTGGGAAGAGGCTGTATTTACCCGTGAGCCCCTGTGAGTGAGCAGGGCTAAATGAATGGCACAGATGAGGAGCACTGAACACTGGGGCAGTGAGGAGAGCTTCCCAGAGATACTGAGACCTGTACTGGTCTTGAAGAATGGGGAAGTTTTGGATAGGATGAGACTAGGTATAGATGTTTTAGGAGGGGGCAAAAGAATGGAAAGGAGGCCAGGCAGGGTTTGGTGAGTAAAGCCACGGTCCTGTAGAGAAGCAGTGGGATCAGAAGTTGGAAGGGTAGTTGGCGATAGCTGGAGAGGGCCTTTGAGTTTCAGGCTAAAGCCTTTGGATTGACTGAGCAGAGATGTATTGTAATATTTTGAAACACTGAAGTGAAGGAACTGTTTATTCGACTTCACCAGTCAGGCCCGGTTTGGCTCATCCTCCAGGTTTACGCTTAGAAGCGATTTCTCCCAGGAAGTCTTTCGTGACTCCTAAAGTGCTAAGTTGGTACCCACAGTACCTTGGCCTTAACCACGCTAGACTGGAAATGTCTGGGTACTTCTATGTCACCCTCAGTAACAAACATAAGCTCTGTGAAGGCAGAAGTGGTGTTTGTCTTGCTCACAGTTGTATTCCTAAGAACTTGCCTGGGACCCAGCAAAGGGCAGATGCTCAGGGACCTTGTGTCAAGGGTGTATCTGTAAACCCGGGTCCCACATCACTAAAGCCCACATTTTGCAGGATTACTTAAAACCCCCAAGGTTAAATTTTCAGGTTACCTTGTTCCTCTGAATGCCCCTTTAACTTTGATTCAGCAGGTAGGCTACAGTTACTGTTATGTTTTTAGGGACCTAACTCATCTTTCCAGCAAAGACACCTGAAGAGATGTCCTCCTCAGTCCTTCACTTCTACGTCCGTTCCTCTGGCCATGAAGGCGCAGCGTCTGGCCACACTCGGAGGAAGCTGCAAGGGAAGCTGCCAGGGCTGCAGAGTGTCAGGACCGAGCTGTGCTACAATGTGAACTGGACAGGTTGGGCCGTGTATTGGATTCTTGAGGGAGATGCCCCAGTCCCCAGGGCAATGTCTCAAGGTAACCTTGCCCTGTGTCCCTGCAGCCGAGTCTCTCCCAAGTGCTGAGGAAATGAAGAAGCTGATGTGGCTCTTTGGCTGCCCCTTGTTACTGGATGATGTGGCTCAGGAGTCCTGGCTCCTTCCTGGTTCCAATGACCTGCTGCTGGAGGTTGGGCCCAGGCAGGTGTCTCCCCTGGGGCAACTCCTTCCATGTTTCTGGCACATGATCTGCCCACCCTTTCCACTTCCACACCTTTGTTTTCTCCTCTTGTGATCCTCAGGAAATTTGTTCTTCCTTTGCTCCATCCTACTCCCTGCCTAGATAGCCATGCTTATGCCTTCCACATGTGGGAAGATGTCTTTGAAGACAGAACTAGCACCCAGGGATGTTCTGGAAATAAAACAGGTTATATTCTGAGAAATTGAAACCAAGGCATTTTGATGCTGGAAGGACAGTTACAGTTTGATTTGATTGACCTTTGAAAGCAGGTTTCTTAGTGCCCAGATCTGAGACTGGAAGCCATTGGTGGGAATAGTAGAGATGGGAGATTGGCTGGGCAGCAGCGGGTAGGATCTGTCTTCTCGGCTCTCAGGTCCTAACAGCTGGCCCACTCCTCAGGCTGAACTTCTCCACCCCGGCATCCACCAACATCGTGTCGGTGTGCCGGGCTGCTGGCCTGGCGGCTGTGGACCGTGTGGAGACTACCCGGCGCTACCTGCTCTCGGTGAGGCACTAGGCCATCAGGATGGGGGACCATGAGGAGGACATGGGCCAGAGATAAGAGATTGGGTTCTAAACTCTAGGGAAATAATGGCAGAAGCAGGGGGAGGAGCTCCTGGCTTTAGACCTGCCCTGTTTGCAGGGTATTCACTGCTTGAGGGCGCCTGGCTGAGGAATGAAAGGAACTGAAATCCAGCCTGTGCTTCCCTGACTAACCTGTGCATTCTTACATCATGCCGGGAAGGGGTGCCATATGGGCCAGCAGTGGGCTGGCCCTGCATGGCTTGGAAGATGGAGAGTGGACCATTTTGTCCATTCTTCAGCTTTCCACCGCTTGTCCTCTGTGTGTATCCTCACCCCTAGTTTGCCCACCCGCCTTCAGCTGAGATGGAGGCCATGGCTCTGCCAACGCTGTATGATCGGATGACGGAGCAGCACTTCCCCCATCCCATCCAGAGCTTCTCCCTTGGGAGCATCCCAACACCCCTTGATAGCCCGATCAACATACTGGAGGAGGGCCGGCCTGCCCTGGAGAAAGCCAACCAGGAGCTAGGTAAACAGGGCTCCTGGGGAGGAAGGCCCCGGCCAGGCTTGCAGGGGTGCTGAGACCTGGGAAGTGGTAGCCTGAGACCAGCAGTCACCTCTTCTTGGGGTCATCTCCTAGGTCTGGCTCTAGACTCCTGGGACCTGGATTTCTACACCAAGCGCTTCCAGGAGCTGCAGCGGAACCCTAGCACCGTGGAGGCCTTTGACTTGGCTCAGTCCAATAGGTGGGGAGGAAGGGGATGTTCTCATGTGTGAGCTGGTGGAAGTTGGAAGGGAAGACCACAGGGGCTTGCTTTCATGGCTCTCTCTTGCCTTAGGGGACCTCCCTGAGTCTGTTTGCGGCCTGGGCTCCCCGTCCACCCAGTAGTCTACATTCAAATCTTGGTTTTTCCCTTCGCTTTGGAGCTGGACAATCCACAGTGACAATGTTTGAAGATTATGGGAATATATTTTGACCTATTATCTAAGTATGAGCTGGCTGTAACTCTGCTGTTAACGCTGGTGAGAAGACATGGCAAGGCCCGAGGCATGACCCGAGGTTTCCACCCTGCCTCCCCCTCCCCATGTCATGCCCTACAGTGAGCACAGCCGACACTGGTTCTTCAAGGGCCAGCTCCACGTGGATGGGCAGGAGCTGGCACAGTCGCTGTTTGAGTGCATCATGGGCACCCAGACATTCTCGAACCCCAACAACGTCCTCAAGTTCTGTGATAACAGCAGGTCTGTGATAACAGCAGGTGGGCTGTGCCCCAGGCTGGGGTAACCTCAGGCCTAGGGGAGGGGAGGCCCCAGGCCCTGGTGGGGTAAGCACAGGTCCCAAGAAGCCAGATCCAGAGCGGCTTGTGTCCACAGTGCAATCCAGGGGAAGGAAGTCCAATTCCTGCGGCCCGAGGACCCCACACGGCCAAGCCGCTTCCGGCAACAGCAGGGGCTGAGACATGTTGTCTTCACAGCAGAGACCCACAACTTCCCCACAGGTGAACTGGGTCCTAGGAGGGATCAATCGGTCAGAGAATACAGGGTAGGGCGAAGCGCCCAGGTCCCTGGGCTGGGCCTGGGAAAATCAGTAGGGCAGGCCAGTTGTTTTTATTTTCGATGGGTGGTCAGAGCTAGGGTTTGTCTCTAGTACCCATACCTCTGCTCCCTCTCTTCACAGGAGTAGCCCCCTTCAGCGGTGCGGCCACGGGCACAGGGGGCCGGATCCGAGATGTCCAGTGCACGGGCCGCGGGGCCCATGTGGTGGCTGGCACTGCTGGCTATTGCTTTGGAAATCTGCACATCCCAGGTCCCATCTCTTTCCTTTCTAGCCCCCTTCAGGGTCCTTGCCCTGGCAGGCACCAAACACTTTTATCTCTTAAGTCAAAGGTCACCCTGGGTTATCTTTTCTTGGGATGGGGGGCTCCAGAGTGGTTGACCTGGACCATGGCCATGAGGACTGTAGGCAAGGGGGCTTTGCAGAACCACCGTGTTCTTATACGCTAGCATTCACGCAGCGAGAAAGTGTGATACTGGGTTGGGCGTATGACCCCCACCTGTCCCCAAATCCAGTGTCTTAGAAAGGCTTAGGAACTCTGGTCCCAAGGGTCAGGGGGAAGGCTGGTGTGGAAGGTGAGGAGCAAGACCAGTGCTTTATGGCAAACTCTACACCTTCGTAGGCTGGGACTTCCTCAAATGGAACATTCTACCTGTGCAGGTAGTGCTTGGTAGCTTAGACCCTTCCCAAAGGACTGGCTCCTCTGTTTGCCATTTTTATGGTCCATCCAACTTTCTCGTTCCCTCCCAGGTTACAGTCTGCCCTGGGAGGATCCGAGCTTCCAGTACCCTGGGAACTTTGCCCGACCCCTGGAGGTTGCCATTGAGGCCAGTAATGGGGCTTCTGACTATGGCAACAAATTCGGGGAACCAGTGCTGGCCGGTGAGGCTTGGGGAGGGCATGGGGGATAACGGACACCTAGTCCCAGGGGTGGGGTGGGGTGTGTGACTGAGTGAGCACTGAGGAGACTGGGTGACGATTCTGTCCCCTCTCCCTGTGATGTTCATGTTTCAGGCTTTGCCCGCTCCTTCGGCCTCCAGCTCCCTGACAGCCAGCGGCGTGAGTGGATCAAGCCCATCATGTTTAGTGGGGGCATTGGGTCCATGGAAGCAGAGCACGTGAGCAAGGAGCCCCCTGAGCCAGGTAAGAGCCCACCGACTTTTTCCAGATCCAGCCAGCCTTCTCTCCAGCATGCAGCGGATGCAGACGGGGAATTTAGAGGATGCTTCAGTGGTTTTTAATCTCTCAGTTCATGTCCCTTCTCCCAGGTACAGGTTTTCAAGGACAGGGTTTTATGCCAGCGGGGCCGTCTCAGCCTGTGTTGCCTCTGTCTCCTGCCTGATTTATTTCTGCACAGCAGGGCCCGCCCTGCCATGCCACGGCAGCCAGTGCCCACTCAGTGCCTGCCGTGTGCCACGGGCTTTCATCTGCTGGTTCAGTTTAATCTGGCAAATATTGGTTGAACACCCATCACATGCTAGGCTCTGTGCTAGGTGCTGTGATGGAATCAAGATAAGGGCCAGGTCCCATTTATTAAATGGGTGACCTGGTCACATGGTTCAGAATATCAAAGGCAAAAGAGGGTATATAGTGAAAACTCTCCTTCCCCTGACCTCCAGCCACCCACTTTCCCCCCCCCCCCCAGAAATTACCAGTGTTACTTAGTTACTTTTGTACCCTGCCAGAGGTACATGTGGGTGTAAACAGACCCACATGTATATTTGCCCCCTTTGGGAAAAAAATAGCATATGTGCATACAGGTCTTTTTCTTTTACTACTTATTGAGTTGTAATTCATATAGCATAAAATTTACTCTTTTAAAGTGTACTAGTGGTGGTTTTTAGTATATTCACAAAGTTGTACATCGACCACCACTAATTCCAGAGCATTTTTATCACCCCAGAAAGGAGCACTACACCCATTAGCACTCATACCTCATCCCCCCTTTCTTAGCCTGTGGCAACCACTTGTCTACTTTCTGTCTCTATGGATTTGCCTGTTCTGGATGTTTCATATGAATGGAATCATCCAAGGCTTGGCCTTCAGTGTTGGCTTTCACTTAGCGTGGGGTCTTCAAGGTTCATCTGTATTATAGTGTGTGGCAGTACTTCATTTCTTTTTATGGCTGAATCATATCCCATTGTATAGATATATGACATTTTGCTTATCCATTCATCAGTTGATAGACAATTGGGTTATTTCTCCTTTTTGGCTACTATGAATAATGCTGCTATAAACATTTGTGTATAGATTTTTCTATGTACTTATGTTCTTCTCTTGAGTATATTACTAGGAGTGGAATTGCTGGGTCACATGGTAACTATATTCAATTTTTCAAAAAAACTGCCAGACTGCTTTCCAAAGCAGTGCACCATTTTACAACCCCCCTAGTAGTCTATGAGGGTTCCAATTTCTCCAAATCCTCTCCAACACTTGTTATTAGCTTTCTATTTGATTGTAGCCATCATAGTGTACATGACACTATGTAATTTTGATTGCTCTGTCCTAATGTCAGCTTCCCTTTATCCTCACATATGTTCATACTCATACTACTTCTGGTTATTTGTGGTTTTGATTTACTTTTCCCTAGTGTCTAATGATGTTGAACATCATTTCATATGCTTGTCGACCATTTGTATATCTTCTTTTGAGAAAAGTCTATTTGTATTCTTTGTCCATTTTTTACATTTTTAAAAAAGTTTTTATTTATTTATAGAGAGAGGGGAAAGGAGGGAGAAAGGGAGAGAAACATCAAAGCGTGGTTGCCTCTCACATGCACCCCGCTGGGGACCTGGCCTGCTTGCAATCCAGGCACGTGCCCTGATTAGGAATTGAATCAGCGACCTTTCAGTTTGCAGGCGGGCACTCAACCCACTGAGCCACACCAGCCAGGGCTCCTTTGTCCATTTTTAAATAGAGTTATTTGTCTTTTTTTATAGAGTGGTAGGATTTATTTCTATATTCTGGATCCTAGACCCTTATTAGATAGACACATGGTTTGCAAATGCTTTCTTCCATTTCGTGGGTGGTTTTCTTACTTTTTTCATGGTATCCTCTGAAGCACAAATGTTTTTAATTTTGTTAAAGTACAATTTAATTTTTCTTTTGTTACTTCAGTGTCATGACCAAGAAACCATTGCCTAATGCCAAGGTCATGAAGGGCACATTTACTTGTATGTTCTCTTGTAGTATTTTTATGGCTTTTAGCTGTTACACTTAGGTCTCTGGCTTTTTTAATTAATTTCTTTTCTTTTCTTTTTTTTAATTTGGAGAGTTTATTTATACCCAAGGGAAAGATACACAATACATCTATGATTATTTGAAACCCCCATAATTAATTTCTGTATAAGGTAAGAAGTAGGGGTCCAACTTTTTTCTTTTATACATGGATATCCCATTGTCCTAACATAACTTTTTGAAAAGACTTTTCTTGCCCTGTTGAATTGTCTTGGGATTCGTTTTCTTGTTGTTGTTTTTTTTAAATGCTTAAATTTTTTTTTTTTTTTTTTTAATAGAGAGGGAAAGGGAGGGAGAAGGAGAGGGAGAGAAACATCAATGTGTGAGAGAAACATCTATCAGTTGCTTCTCAGGAGACCTGGCCTACAACCCTAAACTGGGAATTGAACCAGTGTCCCTTTGGTTCACCAGCCAGCACTCAATCCACTGAGCCACACTAGCCAGGGTTGTTTTGGAACTCTTATCAAAAATTACTTGGCCATAAATGTTTGGGTTTGTTTATGGACTCGACAGTTCTAGTGCATTGATCTATATGTACTATAAATCTATCCTTACGCTAGTACCACACTGTTTTGATTACTGCAGCTTTGTAGTGAGTTTTAAAAGCAGAAATGTTGTTTTGACTGAGGTCCCTCATATTTCTATAGAAGTTTTAGCATCAGCTGATCATATCTTTTTGGGGAGTAATACTATCAAAACAATAATAAGTCTTTCAACCTATAAACATGAGATCTCTTTCAGTTTATTTAGATCTACTATTTTATAATTTTCTATTGTTAAATTTCAAAGTATTTTATTCTTTTTGATGCTATAGAAAATGGGTATGCATACTTCTGTACCTTGCTTTTTTCACTAAGCAGTGTACCTAGAGATCATTTCATACTGATGAAGTCATATTACTTCATTATATTCATATGTAATTCTTTCCTTTGGTGGCTTAGTGTGTCATTGTGTGGATATACTATAGTTTTATTTAATCAGCTCTCTGTTGTTACCATTTAAATTATTTCCTAAATTTGGTAATACAAATAATGCTTTGATGTTTAATTTTGGACATAGGTGATTCTGTACCTGTGCAAGTAAATCTGGAGTATAAATTCCTCTAAGTATATTTACCTGATCAAAGAATATCTGTGTTTGTAATTTTGATTGCTCTATCCTAATGTCAGCTTCCCTTTATCCTCACATATCTTCATACTCATACCACTTCTGGTTACTTGCCCAATGTTCTGATTTTTCCCTCCTTCCTTGCAGGCATGGATGTTGTAAAGGTTGGGGGTCCTGTCTACAGGATTGGAGTTGGGGGCGGAGCAGCTTCATCTGTGCAGGTAAGCGGGAATAGCTGCAGATGCAGACTCCACGATGTCGCCAGACCCTGTGCATAGGTGGGCTGTGAGAGCTCCCAGCCCCCCTGAGCTGAGCTATGCCATTTGTTCCCGCAGGTTCAAGGAGACAACGCCAGTGACCTGGACTTTGGGGCTGTACAGCGGGGAGACCCGGAGATGGAGCAGAAAATGAACCGTGTGATCCGGGCTTGTGTGGAGGCCTCCAGAGGAAACCCCATATGTAGCCTCCATGACCAGGGCGCTGGTGGCAATGGTGAGAGAAGCAGCTGGGACAAGGGACTGGCCGACCTGGTCTCCTGCCAGGTTTGTTAGTGAGACGCAGCAAGAATCTGCAACCAACCGCACAGCCGCGGGCCTCATTCACCCCCTTATGCATCCTGGGCAGGCTCAGGGTTGGGGGATGGCCTGCTGCCATGGGTGGTGAGGGTGTGGCAGTGACTCACTCAAGGACACACAGAATTTGGAGGCCAGGGACTGCCCTTTGTCTGCCTGGTGCTGACCAAACTGAGATCACCACCGCTTCCTGCAACCCTCTTCACCAGGCAACGTCCTGAAGGAGCTGAGTGACCCAGCTGGAGCCGTCATTTATACCAGCTGCTTCCAGGTGAGCCTCATCCCCCAGAGTCTGGCCGTCCGAGCCTCTCCACCTCCCGCCCCCTCCCAGCAAGAACATGAGGCTTGGGAGCACTCGCTGACCTTTCTCTTCCCTCCTCCTCGGTGGATGTGCAGCTCGGCGACCCCACCCTGAACGCCTTGGAAATCTGGGGTGCTGAGTACCAGGAGTCGAATGCACTTCTGCTGAGGCCCTCAGACCGGGACTTCCTGAGTCGTGTCAGCGCCCGGGAGCGCTGCCCAGCGTGCTTTGTGGGCGCCATCACTGGAGACAGGAGAGTGAGTTGGCCCCCATAGCAGACACTGGGTGGGCTTGAGCTGCGTGGGTACAGCTGGTGGCAAACATGTTATGGGGAGCAGGGGGGAGGCGGAAAGGGCTAGGAACTCAAAAGGGGGCGCCAAACAGGGCAGCATGCGGATTTCTGCCCTGCTTTCTGAAGTGCTCTCTACAGGCGGTCATAGTCTCTTTCCCTCTGGGCACTGTCCCTATGGTCTGCAGATAGTGCTGGTGGATGATCGGGAGTGTCCCGTGGGAAGAAATGGCCAGGGCGATGCCCCCTTGATGCCTAACCCAACCCCTGTGGACCTGGAACTGGATTGGGTGCTGGGCAAGATGCCTCGGAAGGTACACGGGGTTGGGAGAGGAGGCAGTGTTTCTCCATTTTTCCCGGCCCACTTACCCTGTTTGTGCTTTGTCATCTGTGTCCCAGCTGTCCTCGAGGTGCTCACGCCCCTGTCGCTGTCTATTGCAGGAGTTCTTCCTCCAGAGGAGCCCTCCCTCTCTGCAGCCTCTGGCCCTGCCCCCGGGGCTGAGCGTGCGCCAGGCCCTAGAGAGGGTTCTGAGGCTGCCGGCTGTGGCCAGCAAGCGCTACCTCACCAACAAGGTCCTCCCTGCACGCCTGCCCTGCCCTTCAGCCCGCTGCGCCCCTCCCTCAGCTCACCCCCGTCCTGGCCTCCCACCCTTGGGGACTGGTATGGGGGCCCCCCGGGCCCGAGGGAGAAGGGGCAGGGCAGTCACCCCGACGGCATGGCCCCTCCTCAGAGCTGACCTCTTGTCTGCATGGTCGGGGCAGGCCAGGCCTCCCACCACCCCTGTGTCCCTGTCCCTTGTGCTCTTGCCAGCCCCTCCTGTTTCCACAGGTGGACCGCTCCGTGGGTGGCCTGGTGGCGCAGCAGCAGTGTGTTGGGCCCCTGCAGACTCCTCTAGCAGACGTGGCAGTTGTGGCACTGAGTCACCAGGAGCTCGTAGGGGCTGCCACAGCCCTGGGAGAGCAGCCAGTCAAGAGCCTGCTGGATCCCAAGGTTGCCGCCCGGCTGGCTGTGGCTGAGGCCCTCACCAACCTGGTGTTTGCCCTGGTCACTGACCTCCGGGTGAGTCCCCCACAGCCTCTGCTGTGGAGCCCTGGCCTCTGGGACGCATCCTCATCCACCGTTCAGTTGGGCCCTTCATGCTTGTGGCCTCCCGGGCCTCTGCCCCCACCCCAGATTCCCCATCTCCCTTCCCCTCTAACACCAGGTCTCTGCTGCCTCCTAGGACGTGAAGTGCAGTGGGAACTGGATGTGGGCAGCCAAGCTCCCAGGGGAGGGTGCGGCTCTGGCCGATGCCTGTGAGGCTATGGTGGCAGTGATGGCGGCCCTGGGTGTGGCAGTGGACGGTGGCAAGGACTCCCTCAGCATGGCTGCCCGGGTCGGCTCCGAGACCGTGTTGGCTCCTGGTGAGGTCTGGGGGCCACTGGGAGACCGGTGGGGCCTGCGGAGCTGGGCTGCCCGCTGACTCTTAACTCCTTGCTCCATAGGGTCACTGGTCATCTCAGCCTATGCTGTCTGTCCAGACATTACCGCCACTGTGACCCCAGACCTCAAGTGTCCTGGAGGGAGAGGTATGGATTCTCCTCCTCCTCACTGTATTGTGTATTCAGAGCCTGCTTCTTTGTTTGGGGTCTCCATTGTGAGTGCTAAACCGTGCCCCCCATCTCCGCACTGGGGCTGCGGTGCTTTCTGGGACTGGCGGTCTGAGTGTCCCACCACCCGCTGGGAACTGACATGCACAGGAGCACTGTAAGATGGGGCTCCCTGAGCCGTGCCCCTCCCCTTCCCCCTTCCTGTCTCTCCAGGCCATCTGCTGTACGTGCCCCTGAGTCCTGGGCAGCACCGGCTGGGGGGCACAGCCCTGGCCCAGTGCTTCTCCCAGCTTGGTGAGCAGCCTCCCAACCTGGACCTTCCTGAAAACTTGGTACATGCCTTCCGCATCACCCAGGGGCTGCTGAAAGGTGAGTGAGGCCCCGGGCTAGGCGATGTATGCGGCCAGGAGTGGCAGGCGTTCCCCAGCTGAGCCTGTGAGGGTGGGCAAGAGGGAGGAGACGCTCTTCTCTCGGGTTCTCTGTGTGTGCCCACATTCTTACACATGCGCTCTGCCCACAGGCAAGGGGTGCAGTTTGGCCCCCGCGGTTGCTGAGCCTTTTTCTCCTCCCTCTAGACCGCCTCCTCTGCTCAGGCCATGATGTCAGCGATGGGGGTCTCATCACCTGCCTGTTAGAGATGGCCTTTGCTGGGAACTGTGGGATAAAGGTGGATGTGCCTGCTGCTGGGGCCGACGGTGAGGAGCCTAGGGTCTAGACGCAGGCCGGGGCTGCCTGCCCCACGCTGCAGACCCCATGTCCTATTAAAGAATTTAATGTCCCCAACTCCTTTTCCCCTGAGTCCCTTGCCGTCACCTCTGACCACTGAGCCAGGTAGCATGCACTGTTCCTGGCTGTGTCCCTCTGAGGCCTCCTGTACACCCTGATGCCGCGTCTTTGGTTTCGATCTCGCAGGCCTCACCCGACCCCAGTCCCTGCCTTCACTCCCTCAGTCCTCGGCCCTCCTGCCTTGACTCCACCTCTGAGTCTGTATCAACACTGTAGTCACCCTCACGCCCCTGTCGCTCTCCCAGTGCTGCCCGTGCTGTTCGCCGAGGAGCCAGGCCTGGTACTAGAGGTGCAAGAGCCAGACCGGGCCCAAGTGCTGAAGCGCTACCGGGATGCTGGCCTTCGCTGCCTGGAGCTGGGCCACACGGGCCACTTTGGGCCACAAGCCACGGTGAGGAAGAGCGGGGTGTGTGGGTCACCTCCTGGAGCTTCCTGGAGCCACCTCTTAGCCTCTGATGGATCTGCTCCCATCCAGATCCAGGTATCAGTGAACGGGGCTGTGGTTCTGGAGGAGCCTGTTGGGCAGCTGCGAGCCCTCTGGGAAGAGACGAGTTTCCAGCTGGACCGGCTGCAGGCGGAGCCGAGCTGCGTGGCAGAGGAGGAGCAAGGGCTGAGGACACGGACAGGGCCCCGCTACTGCCTGCCCCCCACCTTTCCCAAGGCTGCTGTGCCCCATGAGCCTGGTGAGGAAGTGTGTGCAGAGGCTTGGTTTCTTGGGCACTTTGGGCCTGGATGCCCAGGCCTGCTCTGGAGCAGGTGTCTGGGGTGGGGAGGGGTTGGAGTGGGGAAGTAGTCCCTTAGAGCAGAGACACTTCTCCCCCCAGGTGGTCCCACCCCCCGAGTTGCCATCTTGCGAGAGGAGGGCAGTAATGGAGACCGGGAGATGGCCGATGCCTTCCACTTGGCTGGGTTTGAGGTGAGCGGTGTGCCTGGCAGCGCTGGGGCTGGGCCTCAGACTGTGCATCCTCTGACATGTCCCCTCCCCATCCTGCCAGGTGTGGGATGTGACCATGCAAGACCTCTGCTCTGGGGCAATCAAGCTGGACACATTTCGCGGCGTGGCCTTCGTGGGCGGCTTTAGCTACGCAGATGTCCTGGGCTCTGCCAAAGGTCTGTGCAGGTGTCTGCCCACTTCCTACCCACGCGTTCCTGAAGAGGTGCCTTGGCTCCCCTCTTCCGTGACCGGGCCTTGGCCTCTCGCCTCCAAAAGGCTAGGGGAGAGTGCATTCATTCTGCACCAGGGGCCAGCAGGCGACCTGCAGGCAACTGAAGTGAGGCAGGTGACTGGATGGGGCCGTGCCGCCAAGGCGGGAGGGCACAGGTCCTGTATAATGGGATAGCTGCCACTCATCCAGCAGACTGTACTGTTGGAAGGCTGGCTCAGCATGGCTAAATCTTTCTGTTTTTTAAGAGAATCCAGAAATCCAGATTTTTATATGAAATCTTGTTTTAATGTCAGGCAACTAAAATTTTGAAAATGCTCTGCTGGTCAAGCAAAAAGCTTGTCATGGGTCATGTCTGAGTTAAGGAGATAAATCCATTTCTTCCTGTACACTTGCCCTGAGCTCTGTGTTGGGGGACGGGGGCAGTCCTGGGGACGTGCAGCAGTGCCTGTTGGGAGGGAAAGTCTCACCCCAACTTCTCTGTTTCCTCCCAGGGTGGGCAGCTGCCGTGACCTTCCACCCTCAGGCCGGGGCTGAGCTGAGGCGCTTCCGGAAGCGACCAGACACCTTCAGCCTGGGCGTGTGTAACGGCTGTCAGCTGCTGGCTCTGCTGGGCTGGGTGGGAGGCAACCCCGGCGAGGAGGAAGGGGAGATGGGCCGTGACTCCTGGACAGCCCAGCCTGGCCTCCTGCTTCGCCACAACCTGTCTGGGCGTTACGAGTCTCGCTGGGCCAGTGTGCGTGTGGGCCCCGGGCCGGCCCTGATGCTGCGAGGGATGGAGGGCGCTGTGCTGCCCGTGTGGAGTGCCCATGGTGAAGGTCAGGCTGCAGGAAGGCAAGGAGGAATGTCTGAGGGCAGGGCTGGGTAGAGGGCATGAAGGAACGTGGCTCTCTTCCCCCTTCTTCCCTCCCAGGTTACATGGCATTTTCTTCTCCGGAACTCCAAGCCGAGATCGAAGCCAAGGGCTTGGCTCCACTGCACTGGGCAGATGATGACGGGAACCCCACAGAACAGTACCCCCTGAATCCCAATGGGTCCCCTGGGGGAGTGGCAGGTGTCTGCTCTCTTGATGGCCGCCACCTGGCCCTCATGCCTCACCCTGAGCGGGCTGTGAGGCCTTGGCAGTGGGCATGGCGACCCCCTCCATTCGACACTCTGAAGACCTCCCCTTGGCTCCAGCTCTTCATCAACGCCCGAAACTGGACCCAGGAAGGAGGTTGCTGAGCACGGAGGCTCATCTGGGCCTCATGGTTTGTCCCTGGGGTGTTGCTGCCCTATCCTTCGTCACCTTCAGAAGCACCCCATATTATTTTCAAATGTGTCTTCGACAGACAGGGATCAAAATGCCAAAAAATACCTCAGCTAATTATTAGTCTGCCCGCTTTTGCTTTATGCTGTTGGATCTGTTTTATGTTCTTCTGCTCTAGAGTGTTTTGTCCTTTATGAGCTCTGGAGGCAGCATGTGGTTCAGAGAAAAGAATCTGCAGTGGAAAGTTAGGGTGCACGGAGAGGAGGAGGTTCTTTGGACTTACTTCCTTTCACGTAGCGATCACCACGTGATGCTTATGTCACTCGGATGGGTTTGGAGGGATGTTTTCTGTCCCCCTTCCTCCTCATTGGGGTTTAGAGGGCAGAGGCATACAAAAGCATTCAAGTTGGATGTCAGCATTCTTATCTGACCAACAGCAGAAGCTTTCTGGGTTCCTCTTTAAAAACACAGCATCGTACTAAGTGTAAGCAATTTTTTGCAGAAGTTGCTTTGATAGAGTCTCTGGCCTCTGACCCCAATGTTCCTAATTCTGCTTCTCCTAATTTAACAGCTTCCTTCCTAACAGAAGTTGTTAGCACTTCCATTCCTAGAACTGAGCCTTAAGTATTCATTCATTCATTCATTCATTCATTCATTCTGTTAACATTGAGTGTTTAGCTACAGTGCCAAGTACTGTCACTGCCTCAGGGAATTGATGTCTAATGGAATTTAGAACAGTAGCTGACGGTGGCATCTACCATGAGCCAAGCATGTGCGAGGCAGTTTATATGTATTTAAATTAATTCTCACAGAATTCAGCAAGGTACTTTGATAGCCCCATATTTTCCTTTTTTATTAAAAAAAAAAAAAAGGAAGAATGGAGGTTGAATTGCCTAGAGGTCACACAGCTTGGAAGTAGCTGAGCCAGGAGCGCGTGCTCAGCGATACTCTGTCTCCTTCCCACTGACCTGCAGTTGCAGTTCTTGGCAGCAGTATTGCTGTCAAGAGCTCCGCGGACAGCTGTCCAGTGCTTCCTTTGCTCACAGGACTGCGGAAGGCACTTCCATGGCTGCTTTGTTACATAACTCAAGTCAGTTTCCCCCTAAATAGTTCGGCGTCTTGATTCCAGAAGTATCCCTGAGAATGGGGACTATCATCTCAGACCCAGGAGTGTGCGGAGCCTTGCAGGGAGTGGGCGGATGGGTCACACCTCTTGGTAGCCATCCTAAGGCGAGGCTGGTCAGAAGAAGATTTCATTTGTGTCTGTGGAGGAAATAATTCATTGCTCTGCAATCTGACCGACCCTGAGCAGCATGGGGCTAGTAAGGGTCATTTTTGGCATTTGAGTATTCCTGGCATTGGGAAGCAAAATGTATGTATATGTAAAATTTATAGATACTGTCCAATGTACATTTTTTGGGCTGATATAAAAGCTTAGATGTCTAGTTTACTAAATGGTTGATATACAAGTAGGCTGGTATGTGATTACCTGATTATTGGTTGTGATGATTGGTCGTGACAGGTAAATTTATACATTTTGTTGGTGGAGCAGATTTGCTGGACTGAATGACCCCGGCCAAGCAAGACCCACCCTCAGACACTGCCAGGACCACCAGGTCCACTCAGCTTCTCATCGCTGTTTTCATCCAGTAGCCACACAGCTCTGTCCTTCCTGGCCCCTGACCCAGCTCCTCTCTCTCCCCGCCCCTCTCAAAGGCCCTCCAGCAAAGCCCTTCAGGCTCTCTCTTTCCTGCCCCTCCTGACTTTCATGGAAAACCAGCTGTCCTCTGAACACCTCTCCAAGTGGCAGCTTTTACTCTCAAACCTCACCTCACCTCTCTCAGGCTGGGGAGTTGGGGTTTGGGTCTTCCCTATCACTTCCAGACTATTTGCCACCCTCTTTGAAGGAAATCTTGCCCATTTTAGGTTTATGCCATTGTGTTCCACTGACTTACCCATCACCCTGTGTGGTAGACTGCCAAACGCTCCCCTATATCTGATTCCCCCCCCTTGAAGCTGAATTCTCCAATATCTCAGTGGGGTTTGTGGCTTCTCAAAGACATCATCTCCCAGCTTCCCTTACTGCTATGACTAAATTCTGGCCAGTGGAAGAGAGAACGATGTATACAGCTTCCAACTACTGTTAAAGAAAGGGTGTGTGCTTCCCTTCAACCTTGCTTCCTGCTGTCTGGAATGAACACGTGGCTGGAACTCTAGCACTGTACTGACACAAGGTGGCATTGGGAATGGGCATCATGCAGAGCAGAGCGGCAAGATGAGAGGCTGTGTCTTTTGACACTGAGCAGTACATATGAACCTTGGACGGGTTATCACTGGATGCCTTAAATATGGGAAATAAACTTGTTTAAAACATTAATTTTTTTAAAAAAATTATTTTTAGAGGGGAAGGGAGGGGGAAAAATAGTGATGTGAGAGGAACATCCATTGGCTGCCCTTCTACGTGCCTCAACTGGAGACCAAACCTACAACCCAGGTATATGCCTTGACCGGGAATCGAACCCGCAAACTTTCATTTCACAGGAAGATGTCCGGTCAACAGCCACACCAGGCAGAGCAAGCCCTGTTAATTTGGGTGTATTTTGTCACTCAGAGCCAAACCATATTCTGTTCAGCTCTTCCTAATTCCCCCTCATTCAAGGGCTTTTTTCCCTGGTTCTTAGTCTCGTTCTCCACCTCAATCCCTTCCATTATTCTCAATCCATGTCAGTGACTTTTAACATCCTAAACTTTTTTCCAGTGACTTCCTCCATCCCACCTGGGGCAACCTCCTCATGTTGGATTTTGTTATTATCTAGATCTGCTTTCCTCCAAACTCACTTTTTCAAGCACCCTACTGTTGACCACAACCTTCCATCTTCATTTTCAGTATTCTGAGATCTCAAAGTCATCAGCACCTCCAGATCAATAATTATTTTCCTCCAATCCATCTCTTTCCTCCTTACCCAACTTCCAGCAATAGCCTTCTCAGTACCCTTTAACTTGAGCCATTTTGCCCTGAGGAAGGGCAGGTTTGTCCAGCTTCATCTGCCTGGTCAGGCTGAGGGGCAGCCTGTGGCTCCAGAATGGGACAAAGGATATGACACAGAGCCCCACTCAGTCTGTCATTCAGGTCAGAAAATGCTCAAAGACCTCCTCCCACACATGGAAAGAAAAAGACTCGGAACAAGAAATTTCAATGAAGTATTTTTTTTTAGGGGAAGCTCAGGGTACTGTAGGAACCTATAGCAGGGATGCAGCACAGACTTTTAGGATCAAGGGAGGATTCCTGGGGTTCGCTGAGACCTGAGGGATGAGTAGTAGCATACTATGAGAAAAGGGAGGCCACTCTTGGAAAGTCGAACAGTATTTGCAAAGCTTCACAAGCGAGGCCACCGTGAGTTAAGGAATTGAACGAAGGTGGGCCCGTCTGGAACATTGAGTAGAAATGGGAAATGGGCAGGCACTGACGGCATGTTAAGGTATCTGAACTTTCTCTTAAGAGCAACGGAAAACAATTTGAAGGGGATTATATAGAGGGTAAACGAGAAGATGTGCATTTTTGAAAGACCAGCTACAGAGGAGAAAGGAGAGGACGTGGGGAGTCGAGTGTGAACAATACAAAGGCTTTGCAGTCCGCTGGCCAGGACCAGGGTTGTGGCAGTGGGTATGGGAAGAAATGGACGGATGTGAGAGACACGAGGAGATAGAATCACTAGGAACTGGATGTGAGAGGAGAGAGAAGAACCAGTACCCAGACTTCTTGCTTGGATCATTGCGTGGGTGATAATTTCATTAGCTGTAATAGGAACACAGTAGATGGTGCATGTTTGGGAGAACAGGACATGCTGAGTTTGAGATATTGGTAGGACATAAATTGGAGGTTTCCAGGAGGCGGTCAGAAAAGATCTTGGTGGGGCATGAGCTTTGGGAGGCCCTGGTATATGCATAGGTAGTTATCTAGGAAGAGTGTGTAGGGCCTGGTAACCTGACATTTAAGGGTTGGCAGAAATGGGGGGAGGGGCGCTAAGAAGAAATGGCACCACTAACTTTACAGTCTAACCGGCTGCATGGCTTCCCACTGCCTGAGTCGCTGGAGTAACCTGGGGTGCCCCTGGGAAGGTATCCAGGGCAATAGAAGAGACTAGTGAACCAGCCTGTTTTCCTCCTTCACCACCAACTCCCAGCTCTGCTGACCTTGTCTTTACCCTGAGGCAAACTCCTCTCTTCCCTCCATTCTTTCTTAACATAGTACAGAGAGCTCCTCATCTATTATAAGGAAATGGACTTGGCTAAATAAAGCATGTGAGAAGGGCTTCTCACACCTGTGGAGTTTGGGCTAAAAGACAGGTATGAGGTGCAGGAGGGCATGTGTCCGTTGAGAAGTCAAAACAGGATGGTCGGAACCTTGTGAGGAGAATATGTAACTCATTCTGAGGGTGGTGGGATGTGAGCTGTTCACAAGCCCCAGACAGCAGATCCTTAAGAAGAAGCATCAGAGAGCACTGGCGTGGCACAGTCTTCCCTGCGCCCTGGACTCCACTGTTGGGAGGTGGGGGACAGAGGGTCAAGTGCCCAATCTTGTGACTTTGGGACAAGAACGGAGGACCTCTCTGCTCTTTGCCTCACCCACAACCAAACCCTTCATCTTCCCACTTGTCATTGGCGTCTCCATGCTTCTTGGCCAGGCCTCCATCTTTGAAACTGCTCTTCATTCTTTCTTTAAGCTTTGTGAATCACCCATATTATTGCTCCCATTGCATATCACTTACCTGGCTTCATCTCTTCCTCTTCTACTTCTGCCAGCTTAGTGCAGACCCTCATCACCCTGAACTTGGGATATTATAAAGAGCTCTCATTCCATTTCACTCCCAACTGGTCTAACAGCAACTTGGACATACTACAATACCATTCTGGTGCTGACCATCAGGAGTCAGCATCAGATCCCACCAAGGTAAGGGGGCTTGGTTTTTTATAGAAGATTGTCCTAATTTCAGATGCCAGCCATAAATCTCAGAGGTCCCCAGGCTGTCCACGTTTCTGGCCATCTGTCTATGTATTCAGGGGATCCTGCAGTCCTTTGAGGTTCAAACATTTCAAGAATAATTCTCAGAGCCCAGGGGAGTGCTGTACTTACGACTCCTGTTTCACTGTAAGGATGCATATTGGCAAGGTCTGGAAGGGTCCCAGAAGCACATCTTCCATTCCCTTTTCTCCAGGAGTAAGGGCGCACCACTCTCCTGGCACATTAATGTGTTTACCAACCAAGAAGTTTCCCTGAGCCTCACTGTTCAGAATTTTTATTGGGGTTTTATTGAGTTGATCACAAGTGGCTCAAAGTGCTAACCCTCTAATCACATGGTTGGTCTTTCTGGTGTGACCTACCGCCATCCCGATTCTTTCCTTTGCATAAACTATCTTGTCATTTCATTAGTATAAGCTATTGGGTTCATCATGAATAGTGAACTCCTCTCACTAGGGAAATTCCAAGGCTTTAAGAGTTTCCCTCCTAGGAACCAGACAATCAAGTTCTTCATTGTATAACATTTCTTAACTGGTATAATTAATAAATAAGTTCCTGTCTCTTAAGCAACACCCATTCAATAAATATTTACGGACCAGTTCCTTTACAACTCACTGGGAAGCTAAAGATGAAAGGCAGATATGGTCCCTGAGCGCCTGGGGTGCTTAGAATTTACTGGGGATTAGCGTTATCAAACAGTGGGGTGCCTGCAGTGGGGACAGAAAGGCCAAGAGCCATGGGAACCCTTAGGAGCAGCTAGCCAGGAAAGAGGGGGGAAAGAAAGTCTAAGCAGAAATCACATATGCAAAAGACCAGAGGCATGAAAGAGGCCGACTCAGTCACAGGGCTAATGGGAAAGTTCTAAGGGCCTTGCCTATAGGGTATGAGGCAAAGAATAGTGAGATATGGAGGGTTCAGAGTGACTGCTATAGCATCATCCCAAATACAAGGACACGCTAGTCTTCCTCAGACACTGTCTTCATGATGTCAGGTCTTTGTCTAGAAACCTCCTGTGGCTATCACTAGTTGCCACAGGACCCTGGGCACCTCTCTGAGACAGTTTCCTCAGATGTAAAGTGGGAGGTACTAATGTCTATCAAATTTAAAATGTGAACCCTATGCCCTTGTTCTCCTCACTCAGGCTGGAGGCTCCATGTTTTGCATGTTTTTGTACCCTCGCATAGAGCCTAGTGTATGGCTAGGACACACAGTTCATAGCAGGGTTTCTTAAGTTCCAATCAACTTGGATGGAAATTTAGCATTTCCTTGCATTATGACTGTGGATAACAAAGCACAGTAGGACCCATAGACCAGAGATTGTCACAGCTGCAATCCTAGATATTCTCCCTCATGCGGAAGCTGTTGCAGATGACTTGAACTATGATTTATGTGCATCACTGGTTTGACATCACACTTGTTAACCTGCTGCTTGATCTTGTTAATGTAATAACAAAGAAGCACATTTTTACTGTATCAAATATCTGTGATTTCGATTTGATAATCGTATTGAAATATTTTCATTTCCTATGTATTTCTATATATTTTATTTTATGAATTTAAAAACATTTTTCTGAGTAGTGGGCCAGGGGCTTCACCAAAATGCCAACGGGGTGCATGAAGGAAAATCAGGTTAAAAACTTCCGCTTAATAAAAATAATATGTTTCTCTAACTCTTCTCAAAGGGATGCTTGACTTTGGATGTTGAGTCCTCTCTCCGGCCTGAGTCCAGGATGTCCCCCTTTCAGGGCCCTCAAAAGCCCTGCGACACCTGTTCCCAAAGCAAACAACTGCATCCAGTGCACGTAGGGCATTGAATAAGGGTATGTCCCAGGGGCACAAAATCGATCAGTTGTGGGCCTACTTCAACCAGTGAGATAAGAGGTGGACATACCCTCACATCTTCAAGAACAGTGGCTCCGGGCCATCTCAGCCAATGAGATTTGTCCCATGATCCTCATCATCCCAGCCCCAGCTGGACACAGCAGGGATCTCACTAATGTCCGGTGAATGGCCTGGGCAGTGGCTAAGCATGACAGCTGGCCAATAGGTACTTTCCCATTGAATGTCAGCTAATCAGCTCAGTTAGATCCTGTCTCTTGGGGAGTTTGAATTTGAGCACATGGTGGGGAGTCAGCAGTTGAGAAGTCTCGAAGAAGGGACAGATATGAAGAGAGAGGTAAAGGGTAAGAGAGAAGGAAGTTCAGTCAAAGTGGGAATTTGCTAAGTTAGGGTGGCCTTCAACACGACTCTTCCAGAGGAGGTCTGGTCCTGCACCTCTTTCACTTCATGGAGGTCTGCTTCTTACCACCTGGAAGAACATTCCTAACCCATGTCCCAAGAGCTCAAGAACTGAGGAGCCTCCAGCTGTACATGGCTTATAGCTCCTGGCCTGCCTGAGGCCCCAAAATGGGGAAGCTGGGGAGCTTTCCCCTTAGTCTCCATAATCTAGTGTGACCTCCTCCTGGCCCATGACTAGGCCCCTACCCCTTGTGCCCAGGGCTAGGGCTTTATTAACATCTACGTCCTTGCACATCTCTTTCAAGGGCACGCTATTTGCTTGATTGCTCACAAGACATCCAGAGTTGCTATTACCCCTGCTGAGCAGGGGGCAGGTGGAGGGTCAGAAGAAATGGGGAGGGAGGGAAAGAGAGGTCTGTCACTCCTCACCTGAGAGAAGTAGCATGGGGTGGACCTCTCTGACCTGGCCACCTTGGTTCCTCACATCCAGGATCCTCTCTCCCTCCCGGGTCTATAACATTCCCCTTCTCTCTAGAATTTTTCCACTCTCTTTGCCCAGAAACAGATGCAAATTCAGCTGCATCCATCTTCCTTTAATCCTAACAATGTTTTAGAGATGAGGAAATGAGGCTGAGAGAAGCCTGATGTTAGCCATCAGAAGTGAAGAAGTCCAAGCTCCTCTGTAAATACCCTGCACATTGCCACCTCTCCAGCCTCATCATTCACAGCTCCCAGCCACCCATTCCCTTGCCAAAGTGACAACAGATGTTCCTCCATTTATGATGGAGGTTACATCCCATAAACCCATTGTAAAATACTGTAAGTCAAAAATGTATTTAATGCACCTAACCTACTGAACATCATAGTTTAGACTAGCCTCCCTTATATGTGCTCAGGACACATACTAGCCTACAGTTGGGCAAAAATTATCTAACAACGAATACCCCGTAGAGTATCACAGCATAACACTTAGCCCAGCAAACATTCAAAACTGAAAATTCGCAGTACAGTACCTATTGAATGTGTATGGCTCTTGTATCATGGTAAAGTCAAAAGAAAAATCAGGTTGAACCATGGGAAGCTGGGGGTGGGGTGGGGCAGGGACTTCTGTATTTGGATTTCCTCAAACATTTCCTTTCATCTCTAAGTCTTTGAGCCTGCTGTTTCCCTGGCTAAAATGGATGCCCTGATTTCTGACTGAATTCCAGAATTCACACAATTGGGTTTATTCAATCACTCAGTACATAATGGGTCTGTTGTGCTCTAAACACTCTGCCAGGTGTTGGGGATCAAAGATGAATGGAGAAATTAGCTGGGAGGATATAACTTAGCAGAAAATTTTAAAAATATATATAGATGAAAAACAGCAGGGGGTTTAATCCTTGCTTTCGTCCAGGGGTGTGTGGGGCGGTATGAGCACTCCCTCTCCACTCCCTCGCTTTCCCAAGGCAAAGATTTGAGAAGGATTAGATATCATATAATCCCCCGGTTGGGCACCGCTTTCAGGAAGGCGGGAGGCCTGAATCCTAACTTGGCCCCACACCTGGTCCCATTGTTCCCTTACTTCCCTGTAACCGATCCGGAATTAGCAATCTGGTTGGCAGGTCATTCGCTATCAAGAGGCCTCTAGGAGGGAGTTGGGTAACTTAAAATATTCTCCCCTGGCTCAGAGACCTCGACTAGACGTCGGTCACTTGGACGGGCAACGACTCCTAAGAAGGGTCTCAGGGGACATTCTTAGAATGTGTGACCCCTTTAAAAGGAGGAGACTGGCGGGCACCAGTGAGTAATCACAGCACGTCACAAATCCTTAACCTTGGTTTCAACTCCTAGCCGGCCCCGCGGTCCCGCCCCGCGCCCGCCTAAGAACGTGGCTTCCGGGAGTAGCTCGGCTGGATCGCGGCAGAAGGCGCGGGCGCCGACCGGCCGCACGCTCGCAGGGCGGGGCTCCTCTTAAAGAACCCGAGCAAGGGCTGACAGGAGGTGGCGGGGGCTACGGCGTAACCCAGGGAGGTGATGCCACGTGTCTTCCTGTAGGTTTCTTTTAAATCTCTCTAGTCCCCGGCCCATGGAGCCCATGCGAGACTATCCACTGTTCGGAGGCGCCTTCTCCGCCACGCTCCCTCCCCGGGCCATTGACGTAAGGTGAGAAAGCCCCTGTGCGGAAGGAGGCCAACCGCCTGGGTTGCGCAAACGAGCTGGGGTCAGCCACGGCCTGCCTCGCATCTTTCCAGTGACCTCCGGCCGGTCCCAGATAATCAAGAAGTTTTCTGCCACCACGTGACGGACCAGAGCCTGATCGTGGAGCTTCTGGAGCTACAGGCCCACGTGCAGGGAGAAGCGGCCGCGCGGTGAGGAGGGTCCGTGGCTGGCCAATGGGAGGGCTGGATCCGAACAAGTAGGCGGGGCCTGTGGCTGTACAGTTAATCTGGGCAACGGAACTCAGAACCTATCACTGGAAGTGAGCAAGTTCAGACTTAGAGATGCTTGTGGGGTGGCGGTGAGAGATGCCCCTCCATGACCCTGCTCCCCCCACTCCAGGTACCACTTTGAGGACGTTGGTGGGGTGCAGAACGCTAGGGCTGTTCAAGTGGAGACTGTGCAACCCCTCCTTTTAGAGAAACTGGCTTTGAGGGGCTGCTGTGAAGAAGCCTGGGTCCTCTCTGGCAAGCAGCAGGTAGCTAAAGAGAATCAGCAGGTAAGGGCCAGTGGCATGTGAGATGTCCTGGAGGGGTGAAGCGGCTGGCTCTGTGACATCCGGTAAACATCCTGACACTGATCCTTTTAGGTAGCAAAGGACGTGACACTGCACCAGGCCTTGCTGCGGCTGCCTCAGTACCAGACTGATCTTCTGCTCACCTTCAATCAGCCCCCGTAAGGAGGACAGAAAGGGCACATGGCTCATGAGTGGGATCCCCAGGAAAATGGGCTGGGAGGGGCAGAGCAGGGAGGCTGGCTGCAGGGGTCTTCTGAGGAAGTAGGAGTGGGCTAGAGGTTTGGGGTCACAGATACCTGGGTCCTCCAAGGATCAAGAAGTGTGAGCTTCCAAATAGGAGGCCTGGATGATGTTATCTCCCCATCTGTTCCCCCACCCCAAGCCCTGACAATAGGTCAACTCCTGGCTCTGAAAATCAGTCGCTTCCACCCTGGAGCCTGGGTGACTTTGAACAGCTGGTGACCAGTCTGACTCTTCACGATCCCAACATCTTTGGTCCCCAGTAAAGATGCCGAAATGCTACTGGTGCTGCTGAAGACTTGGGGACCCCATTCTGCAAGGAGAATAAAGGGTTGGATATATTCCCCAAATTCCTTCCCTGTGCATAAACATAAGACACTTCTCTGCAGAAATAAACTTGCTTTATAACCAATATAATCTCTATGTCTTTGAATCTAAAAGGACCCCCAGGTCTCCCCAGTTCCCATTGGTCTTGGAGAGGGAATTTAAAGTTGTACATGGGATCAGAAGGGACCCGGGGCTGGCAGTGGAGAAAGGGAGGAAATATGCTTTGGGGTGACGGGTTCAGCCCTGAGGGAAGGGTGTGAAATGTACAGAGGGGCAGGTAGAGAAGGATTAAAGTGACACCCAAGGAAGGGAGGGAAACTCTCTTGTGGTGATTCAACCCTGAGAAAACAGACAGGGAGTGGCATTGGCTGTCCCCCTCTGACGGATGAAAGGTCAACTGATCAGAAGTCACCAGGACATAGTAACGAAGGCAGAAGTGTCCAGGGAATGCCGATTTGGTGGAGTGTGGAAGAGTGGCTGTTATTTGACGTATGTGTAGTAGAGGATGCGCAGCTGGTCCCAGAAGAAGAGGGAGAGGATGGTGTGAGGGCCAAGGCGGAAGTAGGAGGCCCCTATACCCTTGTACATGCCAAAAATGCCCTCTGTCCGAGCTGTTTGCAGCAGAGCGTCCAGTATCCCCCGGTACATGAGGCCCTGAGAACAGGTTGGAGAAGGAGAGAGAGAATAGGGGAGGCGTTTGTCAGAGCCCATCGGAGGCCTTACCTCTGCAGCCTGCCTTTTTAGGCTGTCTCACTTGCAGCCAAAATCGACTCTCCCCCTCTGGCTTTCCCTGCCTGTCTGAATGCCCAAGCACTCCCTTACCTTGCCCTGAGTGTCTGTGGGCTGGTTGTAGACCCTTGTGCAGGCCACATCAAAGGGTGTCATAGCCAGGACCACTGCAATGCCACTCACCATGGCAGCGGCCAGAGCCACCTTCCAGCTCTGGGGAGGAAATATCTAAGGGAAGGAAGAGCTTTGTCAATCAGCCAATCATTCAACTCCTAGGAAAGGACAGGCCCTGCACGGGGGATACAGTAAAAAGCTGGTAACTCAGGGAGCGTCTACTCTATCAGTTATAACATAGTGTGATAACACCGTGAAGGACTCAGGTAAATTTTCGGGGAGGCAGTGATGAGAGCTGTGGGAAGGGTGTAGAGGGTGACCCCCACCCATCCTGCCACTCCCTCACATTAAATGTTGGTGCTAGCCCCTGTAAGGCTCAGTTTGGTTTGCACTCCCCCTGCCCACACTCCCAGCGTAGCTCCACCCATTTCCCGGGCAGTACCTCCCACTGGGTTATGAGGTCCTTGGTGGATGAGAAGGTGCACAGCTGGGTGGAGGAACCGACAATAACTCGGGGCAGGGTACTCATGGCGCCACGCCACAACCCCGCCAGACCGTGTTTCCGGCCAATCTCGGTTAGTGCCTGAAACATGCCCTGGGAGAAGGAAGACCATGGGGTGGGGTTTAGTCACCCTGGCATCAGGGGCTGCCATCTGCTAACACTGCTAAGGATGGGTCCACAAGAGGCACCTGATGTCTGGACAACCTTCTGTGTGTGAGCTTAGCACCAGAATGTCACCCTTTGATTGTTTACCACCCCGTTGTCCCCCCGCCCTTACCATGCCAGACTAGGGAGTATTAAAGTGAGGACATAAGCAGACTAGAAGAATGGGGCAGGAGAAACAGGTGCAGAAGCCTAGAGGAGCAGAGGAACATGTGGGAAAGAGGGTCTGGGTGGACTTCAGGGACAGAGTGAGGCTGAATTGATTGGCTGGGCAGAGCCTTGGCTGGGTTGGAGCTCTTGGGTGCAGGCAGAAAGTTGGGGGCAAATGGGAGAGAATGGCAGGGATGCCAGCGGGGCTGGAAACCCATTACCTGATGCTTATACTGGTACCCTACAGCGATTTCTGAGGCTGCCTGTGCTTGGAGGTGTGTCTTCACCTGGGGATGAGAGAGTATCACAACCTATGGCCCAGTGACCATTCTCCTACCTCAGAGACCTAAACTCCTGAATGCCTCACACTGCCTCTAGGGCATTCAACAATGAATATCCTTCTAATCTGATAATTATTGTTGTTCCCACTGAACGAACTGGTCATGAGACCCTGTCCCCTGGCTTCGGTCCTGGGGAATGGATCTCGTATCACTGCAAGACACCCCACCCCCTCTGCAGCCTCCTTCCTTTGTGAGTAGGCAAGGGGATAGAGAGGTTAGAGAATGGCAGCATTTCCTAAGACTATTCACGTTAGGCAAGACCTCGGCGTCCAGCCGCACATGCCAGCTCCTACTCCCAGACAGGATCTCCAGCCACCAACACGACTAGGTTCCCCATCACACTCTGGGTTGTGAGCAGTCATTTGCATCTGACCCCAAAACTCCACAGGGCCATGTGTTCAGCTGACTTTGTAGAGGTGACTGTCCCTGAATCTCATACCCTAGGAGTGAGACCAGACTGCCTCTCCCACAGAACTCACTGCCTCTCAGTGTCTTTCTAGGAGGAGCACAAAGCAGGGCCTAGTCCTAGCAATAAGCAGCAGTGTGACCTTGAGCTGGTCACTTTCCCTCTCTGGGCCTTAAGCAAAGGGGCGGGGGGGGGGGGTGCAGGTTTAACCTATACCAGATAACTTAAAAGGGCCGACAGTGAGATTGTCATTCTGTGATGTCCAGGACTGCTCCAAATCCCTACACTTGCTGAAGTATGTTACTCATTTCCTCACCCTCCCCCACACAAATCCACGTCCAACCTCAGTATCAGTTATGAAGGCCCAGGTCCCCACCCCACACCAAGTGTCTGCCTTGGAGGCCCCAGGAAAGACCCTTTTTCTCACCATGTAGATAGGGCTCCCCAAGTAGGCTCCTATGACCCCAGCAATGGCCCCAGCTGCTGCGCTGCGGGCAGGATTGAGGGTGCCTTCAGCCGTGTGCAGGTAACCCCCAGTCTCAGCCAGCCCGTAGGTGCCCAGCCGGATGCCATTCATCAGGAACTGGTATAGGAGGGCAGGGCCCAGGCCCTTCTGCAGGGCAGCCAGGCCGTCCACCTTGCCAATAGTGATGAACGCATGGAAGACGTTTCGGTAGTGCCGCTGGTAGCTGCCGTGGGCCTGCAGTTCTCCTTGCAACTGCATCCTAGTCTTCACCACCTCCAGGGGATTGGTGAACAAACAGGCCCCGCAGGCTGCCAGGCCGCTCATCAAGAAGTCCATGGTGGGGTAGCGGTAGCAAGAACTGGCCCAGGGTAAGAAAGTCAAAATGAGCTTCAGAAACAGCGTCAGAAATCAGGAAAGACCTCAATTTCAGCAGTCCAGCCTGCAGAAGGTAGGAATTTAGGGTTCCGGAATCAAGAGTGTCGGAGGTCAAATCTCAGGAGGTCAAAGGTTAGCTGGATTTGGGAGTCAGGAGCTGGCAAAGAAAGAAGAAAGAAGAGGTTAGGCGAGTCTGGCAAGGTTATTACAGGCTTCTGTTGGTCAAAGGGGTTGAGGTCAAGGAGGGGCAGAAGCCAGGGGCACTGCAGGTGGGATGCTGAGAATGGCCGGCTGCTTGCGGTCCGGGTGCAGGGAAGGGAAACTTGGAGCCGAAAGCTGGGAGCCAGGAAGGAAAAGGGAAAAAATCCAGCAGGTTACGGAGGAAAAAGATCCCGGAGAAGATCCTGTGATGTCCCCGGGACAGCAAGGAGTTCAGGATCGGGGAAGTCTGGACTCCGGCCGGGACTGTGCGTCCCCAGGGACGTCCCGGAGTACAGCAGCTTCGCCGAGTACCCAGCAGCGAAGGCGCCGCCACGCTCCAGTCTCGGTGGGCAGCGCGCAGCGTTGGGGCCTAGGAGAGCCTCAGCCAATCAGCGCCGAGCCGGCTCCACCGCCAATGGGAGGCGCTCCCGGCGACGCGGCCCCCGGAACCTGCTGAGAGGCAAGTTGCACTTAACTCGCCCGGCTCAGGCTCCAGGGCCGGATTACCGGCCTGGGGTCTCTGGGAGCGGTGCCGGGAGAGCGGAGGTTCTTTTTTTTATCACCGGTGGGGAGGAGAGGTTGGACCTTGGGTTTCTGGACGACGGCAGCAATCTAGCATCAGGATGTTTGGGGCTTCCCTCCTTCGCGTTCTCTCTCGGACCTTCGCCCGGTGGACTTGTCCAACTGAAGATCCACGCCTTGGTGGGTTCTGGTGCCAGGACAGCCTGGAAGGTGCGGCTCCCTTCGCTGGGCAGATGAGACACACCTGCTGAAGCAGACTTGTAGGTTGTAGCCGCTGGTGTAGCTGGCTGCGGGCTGGAGGGAAGGAGGCCTGATGGAAGGCGAGGGAACGGGGTGTCATTCCTATGCTCTTTCTGCTTTGTCCACATTTCTCATTTTGTTTAGCAGTTGTTTATTCTTTGACTCCTTCGCTACAATGGGAGTTCTTGTATATCCTGATAATTTGGTTTGAATCATTTCTATTTCCTCAAGGTACTGCCAAGTCATTGATCCTCAGCAACCTGGAGGCGAAGACGGGACACACCAAGACAAATTTAGATCTCTGGGCTTAGGTTACACAGGGCCAGCACGTGGTAGAGATCTTGAGATCCTGGCCTCCTGCCCTTGCCCATGAGTCTGATCATAGTTAATCACGGAAGAAGTTCTGAGAAAAGAGACTAGGGAAGTTAGCTGAGAAGAGACTGAGGGGGAATCTAGCTGGGAAAAGGCAGGTGGACAAGACCTGTCATCTGGGGCTGGAGAGGGAGGTAGAGGGCACACCTGTGTTTAGAGGCCCATCACCAGACTTAGATTGAGAGACAGCCTTCTGAGTTCCAGTTTGGTCCTCAGAGCACATTTCAGAGTTCTCTTTGTGAAATGGAATGAGAATCATCTATTTCACGAACCTGAGTGAAACTGTTCGACTTCCACCAGGTGGTCCATTTACAGATTTCCTGAAAAGTCAATAGTTGTCATGCTCCTGTGGCCTGGTGTGTCCTGTTCCGGCAGCCAGATCAGAATATCCTTGCCCCACCCCTTTCGGTGATCTCTAAATCATTCACCTCATTCCATACCTTCAGCTCCATCTCCCCTAACTCTTGAAGCTTTTCAAATTCTCCATGTTCAAGCCATTTCCAATTCTTCTTTGCTCCTCAAATGTTTACCTACGTCTGTCATTTTAACAGTTTGTTTACTCTCTGACTCCTTCGCTACAATGGGAGTTCTTGTGTTTCCTGCCAGTTTGGTCTGCATCATTTCTATCTCACCAGTGTACTGCTAAGTCATTGAGCCTTAGGAAAAAGCAGGAAGGGAGGAGGGTAAAGTAGAGTAGATAATGAGGTTCTGGAAGGGTCTCCGAAAAGTTTCCAAGGAGTGCTCCCCAAATGCCTCCACCTGCTGGATGGGATGGAAGTTCCTCATTGTTTTAATCCTTGGGTTTATACCAGTAGTTCTTCAAGTGTGGTCTCTGGAGCAGCAGCAGCAGCAGCAGCAGCACCTCCTGGGTACCTATTAGAAACGAACATTTTCTAATTCCACCCTAGACCTGCACCAGAAACTCTGGAGGTGGCTACTGACAATATGCTTTAACAAGCACTCTCGATTATTTTGATGTGTGCTGAAGTTTTAGGACCATTGGCTTAAGCCTTTTATCTTTCATATCCAGGTGGCCTAGAGATAGGCACTTTTTAAAGTGTTAGTTTTTAGAAATAAGCTTACATTTTTGAAGTTTAGATTTACAGAAAAATAGTACAGATACTATGAGAGTTCTCGTTTACCCCAATCCAGTTCCCATATTATTAACATTTTCTATTAATATATTTTGTTAGAATTATGAACCAACATTGATACACTATTATTAACTAAAGTCCAGACTTTATAGAGATTTCCTTCATTTTTTTATCACTCAAGGACATTTTCATTTGCTTTTTATTTTTATTTATTTTTAAAAAGATTTTTATTTATTTATTTTTAGAGAGAAGGGAAAGGAGGAAGATAGAGAGGGAGAGAAACATGAATGTGCAATTGTCTGCCTCTCCTGTGCCCTTGGGGACCTGGCCCACAAACCAGGCAGGTGCCCTGACTGGGGATCAGACTGGCAATCTTTCGATTCTCAGGCCAGCGCTCAATGTACTAAACCACGCCAACCGGGGCTTCATTTGCTTTGAGAGAGAGAGAGAGAAAACATGATTCGAGAGAGGCATCATTTGGTTGCCATCGTAGGCACCCAGACCGGGAACCCATGCTGGCACCTGGGGTCGTATGCCCTCACCAGTTCTAAAACCCCTAACAGGGCACCAGCCCAAGTCTCCTGGGTTTTAGCCTGTGGTTGCTACCTTGCCACCAGGTTCACACCACCAAGTAAAGGGCTAAAGGACTAAAGGGCTAGAATTGCTCTGGGCGAGGCCTCTATCCCCAAAACTGAGGAGCATAAACTGCCCCAATAGCTAAGACTTCCTGGGGTTGAAGATGGTGAGGTATGTGGTGAGTGAGGAAACAGAATGAGGCCTAAAGATGCCTTGCAGAGAGAGGTCTGAGGGGTGAGAAATCCTAAAGCACAAATCTTTCAAATTTAGACTGCCTTTCGTAACTCTGTATCTATACTCCAGCACAACCAGGCCTGGATCTGTAGGCATTGGAGGCTGGCTGTTCTGGACACTTGCCTTTGAGCAATATCTGAAGCAGATGGTACAAGGTCTGAGCTGCTCTCTTCTTGGCTTAGATGTGATCCTTTCTCTTCTAGGGCTAGAACAGGTCCCTCTCCCTCAAATCTCTGCTCATCCTTTGTTCTTGCTAGGCCCTTCATACAGGGGACCTGAACCTGATGGGCCATTTTCTGCCAAGGCTTCTCCATGTTCAGTAGGATTCTGGGTCATCTGTCCTGTTACTAGAGTCCTGAACCTACCCAGTGTAAAGGTCACAAGAGGTGTCAGAACTGCACAGGTTTCAGTGCAAGGGAAGCTCCGGGCCAGACCCGACTCTCCCTGTGTGCAGCTCACTCCCCCAAGGCCCCCTGGGAGCGCTGATTCGCCCTCGACTCCCTGCAGTAGGGATTGCTGAGCTGGGGTAGGGGTAAGTGGGTGAGACATGAGAGAGCCAACAGGGCAGGGTAGTTATTGATGCCAAGCCAACTATTAAACTAATTAAAACAACTTAAACTGGTAAGAAAGTTTTTTGTGGTTTTATTGTATTATCAGGCATTGGAACATCTGAACAAATCAATATCTGGGCAGTGAGGCAGCCGCTTTCTCCACTTCTTTGGGTTACTAGAGCAACTTGTCAGTATATTAAAACAAACAAACAAACAAACAAAAACCCCCCGCCCTGGCTGCTGCATGCCTCAGTTGGTTGAGGCACCCTCCCACACACCAAAATATCATGGGTTCAGTTCCCAGCCAGGTCATACACCTAGGCTGTGGTTTGATCCCCAGTCACAGCACATATGAGAGGCAACTTATTGATGTTCCTTTCTCTTTCTCTCCTCCTTCCATTTTCTCTAAAATCCACAAACATACCATCGGGTGAAGATTAAATAAATTTTAAAAAGATGGCCTTTTGCATTATTTAAGTCTTTCCAAGGCATGTGCTCGTGAAACAAACTTCTGTCAGGTGCAGTTAGTTTAGCATCCAAACATCAGACACAAAACCTAGGTAGCAGCAGGGACTGCGCCCGCCCACTCCCACTGTGGCCCTGATTACTTGTGTATGATATTTGGAGCACTGGAGGAGTAGGAATAGCATTGGGAAGAGGAAGGAGGAGGAAACAGCATGAGCGCCTGGCTGGGAGGAGGTCAACAGAAGCGTGCAGGGCAAGCCTGGCCATGTCATTGGTTGATGCTTTTTAATAGGAGCACCTGGTAAAACCCCATGATGGGGTCTTCATCAGCCTTAAGCTGGCCCACAACAATGCTGGTGATGCAGCTGATTATCTGACGCAGCCTGGTGGCCCTGTGTGACGATGCTGTGCTGGAGTTCCTGGAATGGAAGACTAGACAACTTCTCCACAATGGCAGCTTTCCTCTGCAATTGTTGTCCTTCCCACATAAGACATGATGTGGCAATGTAAATTGTGCCTAGTTTGGTTCTGTTGTTATCAAATAATTGGTAGTCACACTCAGTAAAGCTGGGGGAGGAGGGAAGGGAGGGGGAGAGGGAGGGGAAGGGGAGACTGGTTGAAAGGTGTAGGAATTAGTCAAAGAACATATACGCATGAACATGGACATGGACAACGAACGGTGTGAGGGCTGACTGTGGGAGTGGGGGCGGGCTGGGCGGAGGCGGGAAAAGGGGGAAACTGGGACAGCTGTAAAAGTATAAACAATAAAATATTTTTTTAAAAAAGAAACTCTTTGTCAGGCATGTTAGAACATTCCCAGTGTAGCTCCAAGGAGCTTCTGTTTCCCCAGAACACGCTGCCCTGACTTTGGGAGTGGGGAAGTCTCTCTATTCGTCAGCAGACAGGTGAAAAGCCTCCAGGTGGGCCTCTCAGTCAGGGATAGACAGAAGAAAGGGAAATCAGCTCACGCCAGCGGGGAGGGGAGGGAAAGGCCCAGGGGCTGCCCTACCCACCCAGTTCCTCTCCTGCGCACATCTGCACACAGACCTGGGACAGTTCATGCAGTACCAAGTGCCACTCCTGTTTGCAGCTAGCAACCATCACTTTCGGGTTAGTTATCATTTTGAATGATATTTCTGTAAGTAACAAAACTAATAAAGATATTCCCATTTCAGTAAAAACAATACAAAACAAGGTTTGGCTATACATGTGTATCTTTTTTTTTCCTCCCTCACCCAAGGATTTTTTTAAAAAAAGATTTTATTTATTTTCCAA